GAGTGACGATGGTGTCAATATTGGAGTAGTTGGCCAGAACCGTGGACAGAAGGGAGGTGATGTCATGGACACAGGCTCCTAGGTGACAGAGGACCTTGGTCGGTCCACAGATCGTAGGCAGGCCAAAATCTCTCACCATCGAGCTGCCCACAATGATGGTGGTTGTGATGGAATCCGATGGGGAAGCGACCTGCTGAACTGCGGTGGCCGTGGGGAGGGTGCCACTGGGCGACTGCCGGCTGTTGGTATACACCCAGGATCCCTGTTGACTTCCGGGGCTGGTAGGTCCGTCTCAAGCGGGGCAAAGCTGTTTGATAGCTGGAACGGATCTTCTCGGATAGACTGCCTCCCCTATCTCCTACGCCTTGCGAGTGTCCAGTCACGCATGGGCCGCGGAGTTGACCTTAACATCTGTCCGTTGGATTGGGACAGATCAACGCCGCCCGACTCATCGACAGCTTTGCTATAGGAGGCATTTAAAACGGAGACTTGATTTGCTTGGGTTACAGCAAGGTCGGAAGAAAGCCGGTTCTCCTTTTCTCGCAGCCGAGCTAACAGCCGGACGATCTCTTCCCTAAGCTGCTTGATGATGGTGCATTTAGGGCAGACAAATCCCTGTACATTTTCCAGTCCAACCTTATCTTCATTGTGTGATTGCGTGGAAAACATCTCTCACCTGACGCATTTGTGCCCAGCCGTGGATAGAAAACACTGGTGAGCTAGCACTGCTAGCGTTAGCCTGCTCCGTTTTCATGATGGCTAACTGCTACTTCACAGGAATCCGGGACACAAACTTGTGGTCTCCGCTGTAAAAGCTGACCGTGTCGCGGAATCCGTTGCAATACAAACTTTAGCTATGATTTAAAAACGATTTAATTAAAACTTTAAAAACAACAAACCAAGTGTAGACAGTACACTGTTCTGTTGCGCGCTTTGATGACGTCTGTTGCGTGACGAATAAAATGTTATATGGTAATTGTGCCGACCCTAACAGCAACAGGATTCTGCTCTACATCATAGAGCAGGTATCCACTATACTTTTCAAATCTATTAATTACATTTTCGGAAGTGTTACCCAGACACTTTATTTGTTTTGAACACAGATTAATTATTGTGCCTTGTTAAGCACTGGTCCAGAATCTGTTCATTTTTTTTCTGTTTAGAACAGTTGATTTATTGTTTTGAATAGGGAAATCAGATCCCAGCGACCCTTCCTCAATAGAACGTCCTGTCCACTCTGGAAGTGATGTTCAGGAAGTCATGACGTTTGGTCATGGTCCAGAAAAAGACACTTCACAGGAAAGGCGTTTGATATTTGACTACAAAAGTAGAACGCAAAGGAAGCTGTTTGGTTTGCTTGTCATCACAAAAAGACTACGGAAATGCAATGAAAAACGGGTTCCTCATCCTGGAAAATCTTTGGTTTTGAATAGGCCTAACGGGTGTGTGTGCCAATGCCACCTCTAGGCTATGTTTCAATGTCCACACCAACCAGCATACTACTTAGTGTATGTATTGGGCATGATTTCTTTGTAGTATACTAGTATGGACATTGGAATGTAGTGCAACGGTTTCTCAACCCCTTGGGTTGTTTTCTCTCTGTAATCGGATAACTTGCTTCAGGTTTTCCCCCCCAAAAAATTTTGACACCGCTAAATGTAAAGACACCTGGAGTGGCTTGTACTGAATGAGAGGATAGTATGGGAACATTTTGAATGGAAATCTCCATTGTCACATGTAAAGTCAGTCATAATTACACATTTACACATTTTACTTGGTAGTCCTAAGCAACAATCATGCCAATCTGGTAGTAGTTCATGTGGCAAAAATTGGCCAACCTGGTATTTAAGGTGGACTCAGCGATATGACGTAGATGCAGAAAGTTAACAGCATAGTGGGTCAATTTCTGCAACAAGTAAGAGCATTACCGATCATTGCACATGTACACAGCCCATCTGAAATTAGCCCACCCAACTACCTCATCCCCATATTGTTATTTATTTTGCTCATTTGCACCCCAGTATCTCTATTTGCACATTATCTCTTGCACATCTATCATTCCAGTGTTAATACTAATTGTAATTATTTTGCACTATGGCCTATTTATTGCCTTACCTCCATAACTTGCTACATTTGCACACACTGTATATATATTTTCTGTTGTATTTTTTGACTTTGTTTTACCCCATATGTAACTCTGTTGTTTTTATCGCACTGCTTTGCTTTATCTTGGCCAGGTCGCAGTTGTAAATGAGAACTTGTTCTCAACTGGCTTACCTGGTTGAATAAAGGTTAAATCAAGATAAAATAAAATTGAAGCGCGAGGCTCAACTTCTCCACTGTTTTGGTCCCCTGGCTACCACGCTGTAACTGTGAGAATGAAGTCTTTCATCTCACTCATCTCAATATCTGTGGTGCTGCTCATGGCAACATAATTTCGCTGAGTCTACCTTTTTATCTAAGAATTGACTAATTAAGCTTTTTCTTGTGTTATGTATTTTAACAAAAATTAACTGTCCCATATGTTAGCCTACTTAATTGGAGCTTGATTCATTGTTTCCATAAAAAACTAAAAATGAAGTATGTTTTTAAATAGTAACCTTATGATTGAGATGTTATCTAATTTTAAAGTGGAACTGACAGCATTTTAGCAACATGAAATCTTATTAAAATATTTTCATATACACCCTCCCAGAAAGAATTACTTTTTTATTTTTTAATACATTTTCTGACAAGAAAGCACTTAGATATGGTCAGTTTCACGTTAGAATGTTTGGGAATTATGTATAGAAAGGCATTTATGAAAATTCTATAGCAATATAGAGTGGGAAAGCGGCTGTGCGTTTGGACAATTTTTAATAGACACTACAGTAAATAAAACCTAATAACATCTGTCTCGTCCAGGACCGGAGTATATGCAGACCGGTGCACCATAGCCAATCAGAGCTACAGTAGGCCTTTATGCAAACAAGCCATTTGCCACACAGGCCTGCCATCATTCACTTTGAACTGGACTGTGTGTTTACAGGCAGTTGCGACTTCAAATAATTAGAACAGATTCGCCAAAAGCCACTAAATAACGTTACACCTGAATGGATTTCTGCAAATATGTCAAAACCATGGGCGTCCTCTTACATTTGGGAACTTTACAGTCCTATTGGTCAAATTGTCATGAAAAGGTAGGCTCTCTTCCTCAGTTTTGCACATCAACAAGATCAACAACTAATGCTAGCCAGAGAAAGATTAACTAAAATCTAACGAAGGAACATTAGATAAACCCTCAAACCTTTTCAGGTAGTTGGCTGTCAAAATTGCACTGATAAACGATGGGGAATTGTAACCTACTCGTCCTTCTGCAGCTTGCCTGCCTATGATGCATGCTTGTCCCAACCAAGCACCCAAGCTAACTGGCTAAAGTTGGCTAGCTTGCTAGCTACTTTCAGACACAAATAAGAGAACACCTCTCTCTGACCATTTTACTCGCCCTAGCAGAGCTGGTTAGGCTGTTTTACATGTTATCTAGAACAGGGTTTCCCAAACTCTGTCCTGGGGCCCACCCCTGGGTGCACGTTTTGGTTTTTGCCCTAGCACTACACAGCTGTTTCAAATAATCAAAGCTTAATTATGAGTTGATTATTTGAATCAGCTATGTAGTGCTAGGGCAAAAACCAAAACGTGCAGCCAAGGGGGGCCCCGGGAAAGAGTTTGAGAAACCCTGATCCAGAGCGTTTGTGACTATTACTGACACGGTCATATTGCGGCTCTGGCGCGTTCGTAAATTAATCAGTTATTCTGCGCTCTGGCACACAGACGAATTCGGAGTAGATAGCCAGAGTGAATTTGCGAACGCAAGAGATATGCTAACTGGATAAGTTGTTCTAGTTCTTGCTAGCTAACCAATTGACACCTACATCGCTAGCTGTGTATAACCACCGAAACACAATGAGGGGGGGGGGAAGTCAGTCACTCACCCACTCCTCCAATGACATGACATCCTCCTAGCAGCTAGCTAGCTAGCTAGCTAACGTTAGGCTCCATGTTTTTACCTTGCTACAAAAATAGATACGCTAGCCTATTAGCCACGTTATGACTGACTTGTGATCATTGCCCTTGCTAGTTTGATTGTATTGACATTCCCATCCTTAGTTACATTCGTCCGTTTTTGTCCAAAATATTGATTATTGAAACTGAAACAGTGCATCTCGAATGGAGGCAGCAAACAATGTACCTGGCCAGCTGTGATTTACAACCTGATAGCAAGAAATTTATTGAAAATATATTAATCATGCATTGAACTGCATCCATCTATTCTACCAACAATGCCTTAGTGTACGTAATGGAATGTTGATTCAAATACAACCTATTTTTAATAACTTTATTAAGTCGGTTTTGTAGCATAAACTGGGAATTAGATATATATTTTTACTGATATTATGATTGCCTGTTTGTTTCATATCTGCAAAGTAGTTAAAACGCTGTCTGTTCCACTTTAATGGTGGACTGTTAAACAAAGGACTTCCTAGATTTGTACTTTGACCTACTATAATGGTATTGAATATTGTTCATACTTTAGATATGAAGATATTGGACACCATAAGTGGGGACTAAACATCCCCAAGGCCCCAGAGTTTGTTTGGCATCTGCGTTTCTCTCGACTCCCTAATTTTAACCACTGTGATACTGACCCCTGGTGCTAGTATGTGGTACTGCAATAGGTTTACATAAATTCTCAATTTTCTGCTTCGTTCTCCTTTGGCCATGTATTTTTAGTCTTATACCTCCCTTGGTTTTCTTTCTTTTGATTCTGCAACTAAAACATCCCTCTTTCATTTCCCATCATACCATCTTTGTCCTCCCTCCTTTCTCAGCCTCTTATTTGAGTAGTTATTGAAGGAGGGACCCGGAAAAGTTGTGCCACTTGTCATTTGCTGTAACTTGCTGTACATTTCTTCAAAACAAAAAGACATGTCTTGATCTAACCGCTCTCCTCCTTGCTGTAGCCGCTGCGCCTGACCCCGCAGAGGGAGTTCATCAAGTCTCTGATGGGCATCGGCAAGCGGCTGGCCACACTGCCCACCAAGGAGCAGAAGACCAAGCAGCTCACCTCAGAGCTGTTAGTGCTCAACCACAAGTTGCCCGCCCGCGTCTGGCTGCCAACTGCAGCCTTCGACCACCACGTGGTGCGCGTGCCCCACACACAGGCCGTGGTGCTCAACTCCAAAGACAAGGTGAGGCGACTTGTTGTAATATACCTGTATATGGAGGTACACACACACACACTACAAAGGCTCCAAAAACAAGGTGACCAGAAGGCCTAGTAGTTTGAAACCTTTTAGTTAACTAATTTGTTAGTTTGTTATTTCCTGAGGTGCCTGGAGTTTAAATGGAGCGGGCCCCAATGCTCTTTGTCAATGGGACTTCCTGGTTAAATGTACCTTTAAAAAATAGCTCTAGAACTCCATTCCCTAAGTATGACCTCTGACTTCTTAATTCTCATCATCCTCTCAGGCCCCGTACATAATCTACGTGGAGGTGCTGGAGTGCGAGAGCTTCGAGACGTCCGCCATTCCTGTGCGCATCCCGGAGACGCGCATCCGCAGCGCCCGCTCTGCGGACAACCTCCTCCCGGAGTGCATTGGCATCACAGCCGAGCAGCGCGCCGGCAGCTTCTCCACCGTGCCCAACTATGACAACGACGACGAGGCCTGGGCCGTGGACGACATCGGCGAGCTGCAAGTGGAGGTAGGTACCCGTGGCAACCACGTGGTGGCACTGTGACTTTCATCACATTTTGATGACTAGGGTGTAGGAGAAGTGGGAGTGAATCAGATTTGAATGTCCTATAACCCTGGGGTCCTTCTATGGTTCCAGCTCCCAGAAGGCCACACCAGTAGCAGTGACAACATCTCCCAGTTCTCTGTGGACAGCATCACCAGCACGGAGAGCAAGGAGCCAGTCTTCATCGCCGCCGGCGACATCAGGTACAGGGTCACTGTCAGCTAGAATTGCTGTGCTAGCTTGTAGCTTCTCTTTTAAGACTTGCTTGTAGGGCTGTTGCGGTGACCGTATTACCGCCACACAGGCGGTCACGAGTCATGAAGGCAGTCAAATTCCACATGACCGTTTAGTCACGGTAATTAGGCTTCTCCAAGCTCTGATGCTGCTGATGGTCATTAGTAGCCTACCAAACTTGCTAACTGACTGGTACTCAAATGTCACACACATCATTTAGTATATGTAAAGACCAGATTAAATCAAGAATAGTCTGATGGGTGACAATATTAGCCGATCACTTGTGAATTATATATTATCACTTGTGAACGATGCCAAGCATAAGAAACAAAGCCTTTTTTTTGCGACTTGTTCGAATCAGTCGGCACACCTCATGTAGCCTAGCCCATATATGCTTATATGTTTTAATAAGGTTTGTATCACAAATAAAGTAGCCAAATAACTTCTTAAAATTAAGCACATTAATCCGCTTTACAAGGGGTATAGAGCCTAACTGGCATATAAGCAGTGTGTGAGTTTCAAGTTTGGGGAAGATAATGTTCACCATAAAAATGCACCTTTTATAATAAAAGCATTACATGCATAATTGCATTTGCAGTGACTTTTGATAATGGTGTTTTCCGCTAATGGAACATTCACGCTTATAGCCTACTGCCATATGCGCATTGCTGCACTTATAATGTGAAGAAATAGACGAATAGTTTATCAACATTTTAAGCTAAACGTTCTGATCTGTTGCATCAGCCACATTGCATAAAAAAGTTTATTTGATGCTAGTGGTTGTATTAATTTGGGATCTATTGCACCCCACAACTGTCTCAGACTATGTTTGGAATATTTATTTCTCACACAGAATAGAATAGGTCGACTTTTGTACTATGGGGGATAGTAGATTGACATAGGCTAGTGCTTTTGCTGGTCGTTAGGGCTACTCATCTTGTTGGCTGACGAAAAGTAAATGTGGACAGTTCTTCCAATATCTTCAATATGCACTTCGGAATTGGATAAGGACGCACGCAGTTGCGTCCCCGATGTGTCTGTCTTAACTTGTAGCCTGTGAGAAAGACCCGATCACGTGACGGAGAGCCGTGTGAGTGAGAGACGCTTTGGATTGCGCAGCACACTCAGGGAGAAGAGAACAACGCAGCACTCTGGGCCGCAAAAGGCATGGCTTATTTTAGGGTGCTTTATGGCCACAAAGGGGTTGCCACTGTGAAATTCAAGGCATTATCAAGTGCTTGTCAAATTGTGAATGAGAGACTATTGGAGTGTGTAAAAAAAAAAAAAAAAAAAAAAGCAGAGCTCATGCCTTTCAAGCGACTTTTCAAATCATCATTAGTCTCATCATGCAGCCTTACAATGTATTAAAAATCTAAACATATAGCCCAACGTTTGTAGAACAACTAAAGTTACATTAATAACTCTAAATTAAGCATGTAGGAGTACCTATTTCTTTGTTAACCGCTCAACATAGAATAGCCGCATGTGCGCACTCCTTCAAATCGTTTGGTTAAAATATTTATTTTATATTTATTGTATTCTTCATACTATAAAATAATGCCACGGAATTCTAAGCAAATCTTGTCTGCTAAATGAACTAGTGTAGCCCACCGCCATTTGGCATAGCCACATCAGGACCTAACATAAGGACAACTCAGAGTATGCTATTATTTTCTTCTGAAATAGACTACATTTTCTTCATATCATGCTTCTTTAGACCTGTCTAAAATAAATAATGGATTTATTGTGAAGGTATATGCTATATTACATGGATTTATTATACTTTTTCAAATGGCTTGTAGGCTATGTGTGGAAGCCAGGAGATGCTAAATGTGTTTGTTAATTAACGGACAATTACCGTGAGGCCGACCAGTTATTTGCTTGACAATCACTGGCTGACAATTTCGTGACCGCCACAGCCCTACTTGCTTGACTTGGGATGAAAGCAGGAGCGGTCCTTTTTCAAGTCGGTCCATTAGATGTTCACAGAAATTCCCAAATGACATTATGCTATCTCCTGATTATTCACTGTTAAGAGTTCATACACATTTTGACAGATGGAATTTCATTACTTTTCCATGACTTCCCATGACTTTCAACCAAATTTCCATGACCAATAATTGTAGCCTACATGAAAAGTCAGAATAAATGTGGTATTGACACTAGAAGGCTGCTGGTCTCTGAACCCATGTAGGCCTACTATCTCCTGCCGTTGTGCCCTTGATCATGGCACTTAACCCCCCACAAAGTAAAATAGCTGCACTGTTAGGCTACTGTATAAAACAGGTGATCAACCCTCCATCTGGAGAGCTACTGGGTATGCAGGCTTTTGATCCAGCCCTGAAACGCACAAGAGTCTGCCTATAAAGGTCCTGTTGAGCAGCTGATGTTTAGGCTACAATGTGGTGTGTTAGAGCATGGCTTGATCAAAAGCCTGCACAACCAGTAGCTCTGTTGGAGGACGGTTGACCACCCTTGAAATAAAATATTGCAACATTACAACCAAATACTTTTGTCTTCATAGAATTATTCCCTCATTCAATGAATCAGGGATAAAATTGATAATGTAGGCTACTTAAAAGCAAGGTAGCTAACCTTTATAAGGCTAAAATATTTGTTTCAGGGGAGATATTTGTCAATTAGGCTATTCTTAGAATATTTTTAACGTCGGAATTACATAGACTACTGTTTAATAGAGGGGAATTCCAGCTTTCAAATAACGGTGTAAAATGTATTTCTCAACATTGCCGGTGGAAAGGCTACAACGAGTCAACGACATTAACTTTTTAGCTATAGGCCTAAGCATTAACTAGCGAGATAGCTTGTAGCAAGGCTAATTATGTTTTGAGTTGGCTATTTAGTTAGTCTATCATTATTTTATAGGCCACCTGCTGCTGAAATGTCTCTCTCCCCTTGGTCAATGGCCTACTTCCACTGGCACACACACACAGATGATCCACAGCACACAGACGCGCTGAAGGGTAGACATAATTCTGATCAGGGCTGATATGTAGAATTGTTAAGATTTCCTGGATTTTCATGACCTCATTTGACAATTTGGAACATCGCATCCTGCGCGTTCAGGCTGGCGCATTCTCAAACTCGAACTGTCTACTGGGACACATACACTGGATTCACAGACTAGTCAAATAAAATAAAATCTTATTTGTCACATACACGTGTTTAGCAGATGTTATTGCAGGTGTAGCGAAATGCTTGTGCTTCTAGCTCCGACTGCGGTAATATCTAACAAGTAATATCTAGCAATTTCACAACATATACCCAATACACACACATCTAAGTAAGGAATGGAATTAAGAATATATACATATATGGACGAGCAATAACAGAGCGGCATGGACTAAGATACAGTAGAATAGTATAGAATACAGTATATACATATGAGATGAGTAATGCAAGATATGTAAACATTATTCAAGTGACTAGTGTTCCATTTCTTAAAGTGGCCAGTGATTTCTAGTCTATCAATAGGCAGCAGCCTCTAATGTGCTAGTGATGGCCCTATAAGATCCTGGTGATATGTCAAATAAGCTTGAACAAAGAGGAATCAGGATATGAATGCATACTCCATTGCTAATCAATGCAGATCCTGCCTTCATTCCACTTGGATCAACCTTTTTTTGCATATTTTTTGCTGCTTTTGTGTGATGGGCCACTTTGTTTTCTAAAGGAGACGGCAGTTCCCCAAAAATTGGAGGTGCCGGTACAGCGCTCCGGACAGCTCCGGCCCAAGTCCAAGCACTGCTTGTTATAGTTTCATGTTTTGGGTCCATCGCTATGGTCTGGATAGAGGTTTTACAACAGCATGTTTCTTTTGTCTTAGGCGACGTCTGTCAGAGAACCTGGCCCACACCCCCACCACGTTCCGGAAAGATCCGGAGGACCCGTCCGCTGTGGCGCTCAAGGAGCCCTGGCAGGAGAAAGTCAGGTGGGTGATTGGTACATAGAACTAATAGAAGGGACACAGAAATGGATGGGCATACACAATCCCCCCCTGAGGATACATGTCTAGGCCACTTAGTGCAGCGAAGAACAACACAGTGGCATTGTAAAGTCATTTGTTGTTTCTCACTATTTCCTTCCGCTCTCTCTCCATTCCTCAGGCGGATAAGGGAGGGCTCCCCTTACGGTCACCTGCCAAACTGGCGGCTGCTGTCGGTCATTGTGAAGTGTGGGGACGACCTGCGGCAGGAGCTACTGGCCTTCCAGGTGCTCAGCCAACTACAGGTACGTGACCCTCCACAGTCCCATTCCACAGAAATGCTCTGAATAATAATAATAATAATAATAATAATAATAATAATAATAATAATAATTAACATTCACTAATTCGCTCTACTTCTCCCCCTTCCTCTCCAGTCTATCTGGGAGCAGGAGCGTGTCCCCTTGTGGATCAAGCCCTATAAGATCCTGGTGATGTCATCGGACAGCGGGATGATCGAGCCCGTACTGAACGCTGTGTCTCTGCACCAGGTGAGCACGTTTTGAAAATGAAATTAATCCAATTGCGCACTTGAAATCTTAGTTGCCTAACAATACATTCAAGCAGAGGTTGTTTAGCTAAGTAATCCGGTACGACTGCCCTCTTGGGATGAAAGATTTGGATAAAATAAGTAACAGTTTGATCACGCTATTATCAGTAGTAATTTGTTATGGAATACCATGTCGATAGCTATTTCTTAGGGAATGCTGTGTCAATAGCTATTTCTTAGGGAATGCTGTGTCAATAGCTATTTGTTATGGAATGCTGTGTCAATAGCTATTTGTTATGGAATGCTGTGTCAATAGCTATTTGTTATGGAATGCTGTGTCAATAGCTATTTGTTATGGAATGCTGTGTCAATAGCTATTTGTTATGGAATGCTGTGTCAATAGCTATTTCTTATGGAATGCTGTGTCAATAGCTATTTCTTAGGGAATGCTGTGTCAATAGCTATTTCTTAGGGAATGCTGTGTCAATAGCTATTTCTTAGGGAATGCTGTGTCAATAGCTATTTCTTAGGGAATGCTGTGTCAATAGCTATTTCTTAGGGAATGCTGTGTCAATAGCTATTTCTTAGGGAATGCTGTGTCAATAGCTATTTCTTAGGGAATGCTGTGTCAATAGCTATTTCTTAGGGAATGCTGTGTCAATAGCTATTTCTTAGGGAATGCTGTGTCGGTAGCTATTTCTTATGGAATGCTGTGTCGGTAGTTATTATTAATGGAATACCGTGTCGGTTGCTATTTCTAATGGAATACCGTGTCGGTTGCTATTTCTAATGGAATGCTGTGTCTGTGCTCCAGGTGAGGAAGCAGAGCCAGCTGTCTCTGCTGGACTACTTCCTGCAGGAGCACGGCAGCTACACCACCGAGGCCTTCCTCACCGCCCAGCGCAACTTTGTGGAAAGCTGCGCCGGCTACAGCCTCATCTGCTACCTGCTGCAGGTCAAAGACAGGTGGGCAGCCCTCCCTTCTCATCCCTCCTTTAGTTTCACTAGTACTATTACTCCCCTGTTCTTAGCTTCCTGCATCTTTGAGCCTGTTTGGCTGCGTTTACACAGGCAGCTCAATTCAGATCTTTTGCCAATAATATCAACTACCACATCCCACCCTCTCCTGTATTCCTGTACTCTTTACTCACTCCCCCTTCTTATCTCCTTTCTCCAGACACAATGGCAACATCCTCCTGGACTCTGAGGGCCACATTATCCACATTGACTTTGGCTTCATCCTGTCCAGCTCACCCAGGAACCTGGGCTTTGAGACCTCTGCTTTTAAGCTCACCAGCGAATTTGTGGATGTGAGTCAAATAAATCAGTGAATGTGCATTGTCACATTAAAATGTAAACCGGAGAACGCAATGTGGAATTGATCATACAGCTAGCTGCCTAACAATTTAGTTATTAATGTCACAATGTTCACTACATAAATACATACATTTGTTGGTGTGTTCAAAGATGCTATTAGCGACAATGAGTTTGCTGCTTATCTGCAGTAGCCTGCATAACCTGTCGGTTTTGTATGTGTAAAGACTAACCTCTGTTGTCCGTGGTTCTCTCTCAGGTGATGGGAGGCCTGGATGGAGACATGTTCAACTACTACAAGATGCTGATGCTCCAGGGCCTGATAGCTGCTCGCAAACACATGGAGAAGGTGGTCCAAATAGTGGAGATCATGCAGCAAGGTACTGTTAGCTAAAACAGTATATTAGCATGATCAGTGTGTTGTGGTGGTTTCCATTTATATGGTCTTTCTGCCCTCTGTCTGGTTTCTCTATGGTATTGCTATTGCAACTCCTCTGACTCCCTCTCCCTGGGTCTCTCCTCCCCCACCAGGCTCTCACTTGCCCTGCTTCCATGGCTCCAGCACCATCCGCTACCTGAAGGAGCGTTTCCACATGAGCCTGACAGAGGAGCAGCTACAGGTGCTGGTGGAGCAGATGGTGGATGGCTCCATGCGCTCCATCACCACCAAGCTTTACGACGGCTTCCAGTACTTCACCAACGGCATCATGTGAACAGTTCAACACCAAGACACGAAACTCAACTACATGGGACAACCACATGGGAGAGCAAGCAATCGTGTACACACACAGATGGTGGCGAACATGTGCATATGGACTCACGCATGTGTGCTTGCCATAGCAGCACATCTACGAAAATGGACTCATGTATAGATTAGTGCTACAGGATCTGTTTGCAAACTTGATATGTTCTTTGTCTTAGATGGACTTCTGTTTTCCCCCTCCTTATTTTGGCCTTGTGGAGGGGGAGTCTGCACCTCATCTTGTCCTCCTATCCATAGGACTTTTACCGCATTGACTGTTCTAAAACAAGGCATAACGCACAGTTCAAATCACACACGAAAAGGATTAAGTATCAATATCAGAGGAGGTACTTAATTGAAAAGGGGGAGGGGCAACATTGGAGAGGGCGTGGTCTATATTCAGAGGTGCCCAGAAGAGTTTTCTCAGAATGGACAAATGACAAAACTGTTTGTTGAAGTCCTGTGGCTCAATTGTGCAAGAGCGAATCACAAAGAGGTACATATCGAATATATGTACTTATTTTCATTGTTCTTAGAACAAAATGGACTTTGAGAAGTTGAAGCCACTATGTAACGACAAAGAAAGCACAAGACATAATTTGCTGGGGTTTTCTAACGGACATTTTCCTTCTTCTCTGAAAATTCTGTGGTTAACAAGAATGAGCCAGCCCAAAGAGAGGGGAGAAAAAAGGACTATTAAAAACCATTGGTGTATGAGTGTTATCTGTCTGGAAAACAACTCTTTATTCCAAGGTTTTGATTCGTTTTGAACAATGTTTAAATTTCAAACTGGAAGTTTGAACTAGGACCAACTCGTCTCTTATTAGGGGTCCAAGCATGCAGCAAAGCTGCTGGTTGTATGTGTTTTTCTTCCCATCCTTAAAAGGAGCAGTTTCATTTTCAATCTGGGTTTCAGACAACTGGGGCTCATCCAGTAGAGCACATCTGTACTTAGTGTTACAGATAGAAAGGCCATGAATAGAAAGGAGACTGTTCTCTGTCATCACAGTTCAGTTATCTAGGGACTCTTGTCCTTACTGAATAAGCACCAGGCAAGTCTGCCTAGTATCTGAAACCATCAGGAAAGGGCAGAATGTTGTACTGTTGAATATGCCGACTGTGTCATGCCAACATACATCATGTAGGTCTTTGCTTTGCTAGTGTCACTCTTTAAACCATCATACTTGAAGGAACGCTAGCGTAGTGATGAGCCTCATGCACTTAATGACAGTTATGTTGAACCAAAATGGCTACCTGTGGTTACATATACAAAACAATTGCAATGGATTTATGCAAAAAACTCAACATTGATGTTCCACTAATGTTCGTCTTTCATCTCTAACTGTGTATATTAACGCATTATTATTGTATGTTGTTTTAACTTAGGTTGCATATTTAACGAATGCTCAACACGTCCCTCTCTGGTTGGCTCTGGGCTGCATTCCTGTGACTAACTCAGGCCAATCCAGAGAGAGGGTTGTCCTTGAGCAGACCATGTAAATAATGGGAGTGATATCATTCCTCTGTCTGTCTTAGTCTGTTTATTTCTCCTTGTTTTGAACAGTATGAGCTCATTATCACAAGTCAACTTCCTTGATATGTGAATGTTTTTTTTATGATACTCTACTAAACCGATTTTATTTTATTTTTTCGGTCTCAAACACATATGTATTCAGTATTGAAGAGAGCTGTTTCAAAAGCGACATGCGTGGATGGCCTATAACTTATAATACCGGCTCATGTCTTTATGTTTGAAAGCTGTGTCGTTGGTGGGTGGCTTTTGTGTGTAGCAAAAGTGACAGAGAACTTGTCTCTCCAAAATGAAGTCATTCCTGTGAGCAAACCGATGCCTTGAAACATACAACTTTTATCAATGCAACAGTTGGGGAAAAAGGCATGCAGGTCATGTACCCAGGAAGTGCTTTTATCAAAAGTTTAAACACTCCTGCTTACTCTAAAGTAAATACTACTTCATTGCCTTTCCCTTCATTTATTCCAACCCTAACATTATTCTGTAAAATGATGTAAATTACTCTAAAGTGCATTTATCTTTGCTGGAGCGGGTTCTGTCAAACCTGAGTTGATTTTGATGTCTCTCCCATTCTGAACCACGGCGAAGCAGAATTGTGTCCTTGTCCAGTGTCACACCAGCTAAATGCTTGTCCGGGGGTATATTCAGTGCAGAAATATGTTCAGATTGCTACAGATAAATGTATTGGATAGATCACACTATAGTTTTGAATAGAAAAATGTCTGCTCTACATGTAAAATTTTTGCCTTCCAAGTTCTGAACATTGTGCCCTCCTGAAAGAGACATGGTTTTAGACGGAATTGGTCCACCTCTAACACCAAGCAAAGCATTTATTCTAGTAAATTAACGAGTCCCTCGTCCTTGATACTAAAGACATTTAGAATGTACAGGGGAATAAATATTGCCCACTTTGTATCAGAACGCTAACCCTTTTACCATTTAATCTTCCTTATTATATGTTTTTCTCATACACATGGTACAGAGAAATACCTTGTATAATGTCAACTAAATGCATGACTCATTCAATAAATCAGAAATAGTTTTTTAAATCTTTATTTTCTTGGTTTTCTTTAACATTTGTTGATAAATTGTTGTGGGGGCATTTTGGATATATAATTGAATAAAATGTGAGTCACATCGATTACATATACATAGTAAACTAATTTGTTATGCAATAGATTTCTACAGTTTTTCAGTTGCATAAAGGATAGACTATTGTTCATTCAGTTGTTTAATATGGAATAACGCTGCTATGGCTATATTGTAATCAATTGAAAATGAATTCTGAATTGGAGAACAGAATACTATTTTAACTATTTTAATGACAACCTGTCCTCTAGTATCACTGTAAAAGAGCTGTAATTATTTGCAGTGCTGATGCCACTATGGCTGCTTTACACAGACAGCCCAATTCTGATCTTTCTTTCACTAATTGGTCTTTTGACCAATCAGATCAGCTATGAAAAAGATCTGATGTGAAAATCTTTGATTGGTCAAAAGACCAATAGTGGGAAAGATATCAGAATTGGGCTGCCTGTGTAAACTCAGCCAATGACTTCTAATTCTAGGGTTGTAGCTACATTGTCAAAGTTCAGCATTCTTCCAACAAACATGGATTGGATCAGACATGGACATTTTAGGCTACCTGCAGTGTTTGTCTTTCATTAGTAGGAGCTGTTTTTCTTGATTTGAGCCCATAATCATGAGGGGTCAATATCAGAGACGAGTGCAGCCAGCGCCCATGTATACCAAGGCCTACTGTAAGTAAAAATAAATACGTAATCTGGAATTGATTTAAATTACATTTTACTCTCAAATGGCCCCTCTATGCAGAACGCCGGTGGTGCGACCACACCATGCAAGTTGTTCTAGGACCAGACGCCCACGTGTAAGTAGCCTATAACTGAAATATCTGTTTTCAATAGATTTTCAGAAAACACAGCAATATTAACTTCTCGACTTTAAAAATGTGGTTTTGGACAGCAGGGCTGAGACAGTTGAGAGCCCCGACAAGGCGCTGACAAACTGAGTCTGTACTCTGTCTTAATACAGCATGTAAATGTGTGATTATAGGAATAGCCTACATTATACATGACCAAGTCCTTCAGTAAGTGTGTTAAATATGTGCCCGAGGCTATAAATGAGGGAGCTCATACGTGTGTGTGTATTTCAGGTTCCTCAGGTATCTGAAACTCAGGACATCAAATATTCTCTAACTATGGTGGCACAATCCCTCTCAGAGACAAAGCACAACAGGGATGAAAGTAAGATTCTCTCACTATGATGGCCCAACTCCCTTCTCAGGGAGAGCAGAAGATAGACAGAGAGAAGATGGAGATAGCTGCTCTAAAAGAGGTGAAGAACGGAGAGAACATGGAGGGTGGAAAGGAGATTGCGCTGACAAATAAAATAAAATGTTATTGGTCACATACACATTTCGCAGATGTTATTGCGGGTGTAGCGAAATGCTTGTGTTCCTAGCTCCAACAGTGCAGTAGTATCTAACAATTCACAACAATACACACATCTGTATGCACTCACTAACTAAGTCGCTCTGGATAAGAGCGTCTGCTAAATGACTTAAATGTAAATCTAGAAGTAAAAGAATGGAATTAAGAAATTTATAAATATTAGGACGAGCAATGTCGGAGTGGTATTGACTAAAATACAGTAGAATAGAATACAGTATATACATATGAGATTAGTAAAGCAGTATGTAAACATTATTAAAGTGACTAGTGTTCCATTATTTAAGTGGCCAGTGATTCCAAATCTATGTACAGTTGAAGTCGGAAGTTTACATACACTTAGGTTGGAGTCATTAAAAAACTTGTTTTTCAACCACTCAACAAATTTCTTGTTAACAAACTATAGTTTTGGCAAGTCGGTTAGAACATCTACTTTGTGCATGACAGAAGTAATTTTTCCAACAATTGTTTACAGATTATTTCACTTATTCACTGTATCACAATTCCAGTGGGTCAGAAGTTTACATACACTAAGTTGACTGTGCCTTTAAACAGCTTGGAAAATTCCAGAAAATGATATCATGACTTTAGAAGCTTCTGATAGGCTAATTGACATCATTTGAGTCAATTAGAGGTGTACCTGTGGATGTATTTCAAGGCCTACCTTCAAACTCAGTGCCTCTTTGCTTGACATCATGGGAAAATCAAAAGAAATCAGCCAAGACCTCAAAAAAAAATTTGTAGACCTCCACAAGTCTGGTTCATCCTTGGGAGCAATTTCCAAATGCCTGAAGGTACCACGTTCATCTGTACAAACAATAGTACGCAAGTATAAACACCATGGAACCATGCAGCCGTCATACAGCTCAGGAAGGAGACGCGTTCTGTCTCCTAGAGATGAATGTACTTTGGTGAGAAAAGTGCAAATCAATCCCAGAACAACAGCAAAGGACATTGTGAAGATGCTGGAGGAAACAGGTACAAAAGTATCTATATCCACAGTAAAACGAGTCCTATATCTATATAACCTGAAAGGCAGCTCAGCAAGGAAGAAGCCACTGCTCCAAAACCGCCATAAAAAAGCCAGACTACGGTTTGCAACTGCACATGGGGACAAAGATCGTACTTTTTGGAGAAATGTCCTCTGGTCTGATGAAACAAAAATAGAACTGTTTGCCATAATGACCATCATTATGTTTGGAGGAAAAAGGGGGTGCCTTGCAAGCCAAAGAACACCATCCCAACTGTGAAGCACGGGGGTGGCAGCATCATGCAGTGGGGGTGCTTTGCTGCAGGAGGGACTGGTGCACTTCACAAAATAGATGGCATCATGAGGAAGGAAAATTATGTGGATATATTGAAGCAACATCAAGACATCAGTCAGGAAGTTAAAGCTTGGTCGCAAATGGGTCTTCCAAATGGACAATGACCCCAAGCATACTTCCAAAGTTGTGGCAAAATGGCTTAAGGACAACAAAGTCAAGGTATTGGAGTGGCCATCACAAAGCCCTGACCTCAATCCTATAAAACATTTGTGGGCAGAACTGAAAAAGTGTGTGCGAGCAAGGAGGCCTACAAACCTGACTCAGTTACACCAGCTCTGTCAGGAGGAATGGGCCAAAATTCACCCAATTTATTGTGGGAAGCTTGTGGAAGGCTACCTGAAACATTTTACCCAGGTTAAACAATTTAAAGGCAATGCTACCAAATACTAACTTCTGACCCACTGCGAATGTGATGAAATAAATAAAAGCTTAAATAAATCATTCTCTCTACTATTATTCTGACATTTCACATTCTTAAAATAAAGTGGTGATCCTAACTGACCTAAAACAGGGAATTTAACTAGGATTAAATGTCAGGAATCGTGAAAAACAGAGTTTAAATGTATTTGGCTAAGGTGTATGTAAACTTCCGACTTCAACTGTATATAGCCTCTAAGGTGCAGGGTTGCGTAACTGGGTGGAAGCCGGCTAGTGATAGCTATTTAACAGTCTGACAATGAAGATAGCGGAATTGGAGAAGGAGAACGACATGTAGTGGGCAAAGATAAAGAGCTTGGAGATAGAGGGAGAAGAAATGTATTACCATCTGAAGTTCTGAGAGGATGGAGAAGACATTGCGAACAGAGCTGAAATCGGCGAGATCTGAGTTGGAGAGCAAGAAGATAGAAATGGAACCAGACGGAGAACTGGCATAATCTCCAAATTATGCTACAGAAGGACATCCGAGAGTTTGTATCACAATTTATACATTGGACCCTGACATTGGAAGAAAAGATCCAGAGGTTAACCCATGAGTGGGAATGTAAGTCAGAACAAGGAAGAGTTGAGACTAAAAAAATAGGAATTAGACATGGAGAGGAAGATGGAGATCTCCATGAGGAGTGCCACTAATGATTGGCTCCTCAAGAGAGACGAGCAACAGAGAGCTGGAGGCCGCACAGAGCAAGATCCGTTCTGAGGTAAGAGACTTCTTTATAACGTAGTTATAAATACTTTCTAATCCATACCGTTCAAAGTGTTTAGTCCACAAACATCTCTCTTACTGCTCAGAAACTTCTCTAGACCTTTTCCCACACTCCCAGTCTGGCTAATCATATCTTGTTCTTTGTTGTACAATGTTTAAGAGCTACTGTTGAGAGAGTTTACAGTGTCTCCATCTACATCCTGTTTTCCATTTACAGATGAAAGACAGATTGGCGGTAAAACAAAGACACACACCGAATACAGGGAACACAAACACACCTTAGTCTTGTTGTACATCTTCACCACAGACAAACACATCTCCTTGGGTTTGGTATGTTTAACTACACTGAGTGTACCATACATTAAGAACACCTTCCCAATATTGAGTTGCACCCCCCCTTTTTGCCCTCAGAACAGCCTCAATTCGTCAGGGCATGGACTCTACAAGGTGTCGAAAGCATTCCACAGGGATGCTGGCCCATGTTGACTCCAATGTTTCCCACAGTTGTGTTAAGTTGGCTGGATGTCCTTCGGGTGATGGACCATTCTTGATACACATTGAAACTGTAGAGCGTGAAAACACCCAGCAGCGTTGCAGTTCTTGACACACAAACTGGTGCACCTGGCACCTACTACCATACCCCGTTCAAAGGCACTAAAATATTGTATCTTGCCTATTCACCCTCTGAATGGCACACATACACAATCCATGTCTCAAGGCTTAAAAATCCTTCTTTAACCTGTTTCCTCCTATCTACACTGATTGAAGTGGATTTAACAAGTGACATCAATACGGGATCATAGCTTTCACCTGGATTCACCTGGTCAGACTATGTCATTGAAAGAGTTCTTAATGTTTTGTACACTCAGTGTAAAGATGTGTATCGCTCTCTTTCTTAGACTCCATCAAAGATGGAGCAGAGAAGAGACAGAAGTAGGAGAAGAAAGCAAGAGAGGCAGAGAACAAGAAGTTATAGGACAAAAATATATGAAGTGTTTCAAGGCGGCCCAGAAGGAATTGAAGGATTGGTTGTATGAGTAGATTATGTGAAATAATTATTGACATTTACCAGACAATAAATGAATCACTGTACACCATGATCATTTGTTTAGATTTTCCTTTACTGACATGACAAATTAAATACAAAGCAAGAAGTGGCGACGATTAACACTTGGCGTAAGGTGTGGTCTAGTTCTGTAATTTGTTGCTAAAAGCCCCTCCCCCCTAAAGCTACTTCAAAAGGCCCTGTATATCCGACTGTCGCAAAACCTCATTAACCGCCTGAACTTTATTCGTAAGTACTGTAAATCAAATGTCAACTTCTCATAGTTGGTTCAAGTGCCAGGTTTGCTTAAAGGCCCAGTGCAGTAAAACATTTGATTTTCCTGTCTTTCATGTAGTCTGAACAAAAATATAAACACAACATGTAAAGTTTTGGTCCCATGTTTCATGAGCTGAAGTAAAAGATCCCAGAAATGTTCCATACGCACAACAAGCTTATTTCTCTCAAATTTTGTGCACAAATTTGTTTACATCCATGTTAGTGAGCATTTCTTTGCCAAGATAATCCATCCATCTGACAGGTGTGGCATATCAAGAAGCTGATTAAACGGCATGATCATTACACAAGTGCACCTTGTTGTGGACAATAAAAGGCCACTATAAAATTTGCAGTTTTGTCATTGCCACAGATGTCTCAAGTTTTGAGAGAGCGCGCAATTGGCATGCTGACTGCAAAAATGTCCACCAGAGCTGTTGCCAGAGAATTTTATGTTAATTTCTCTACCATAATGTCGTTTTAGAGAATTTGGCAGTACGTAAAACCGGCCTCACAACCGCAGACCACATGTAACCACGCCAGCCCAGGACCTCCACATCCGACTTCTTCACCTGCGGGATCATCTGAGACCAGCCACCCGGACAGCTGATGAAACTGAGGAGTATTTCTGTCTGTAATAAAGCCCTTTCGTGGGGAAAAACTCATTCTGATCCAACCATGGCTGCGCTCCTGCCCAGTCATGTGAAATACATAGATTAGGGCCTAATTTATTTATTTTAATTGACTGATTTCGTTATATGAACTGTAACTCAGTAAAATCATTGAAATTGTTGCATGTTGTGTTTATATTTTTGTTCAGTATATATTTCCACACTATGAGGTTGGAATAATACTGTTAAATTCTGAAATGTCAGCCTGTGGTGGTGGGATGACATTTTGGCCTGCCTGACATTTGTTAATAGACCAATAAGAACGAGAGTTCCAAACCTCTCTGCCAATAATCGCTAGTTTTCAGTTTTTCCCTCCCACTCAGACCAGTCCTATCAAAATTCTTGCTTGAGAAATGTGTTTCTTTTTGACCATTTTCATTCTTACCCAGAAATGATTTTAAATTGCGATACAAACAGCCGCATTGGACCTTTACTGCAACTCTTCTTCTCTTACTCCCATATAGTCATCTTTAACCCCCCACTGATCTTAAAAGTCATCCACAAAAGATGCTCCAGCAGAACTTCATTGTCCATATCCATTCTCCTTTCGCATAATTCTTCCCTGCTACTAACTACAGCACAGTACACTATATGACAGGGCAATTAAAGCCCATGCTTACTCTAGCAGATAGGACTTTTGGGAACACGGCCCTCAAGGCTATCTCTTCGTTCGTTTGTCGGCTTGCAGAGTCCTCTTCTTGACCCAGGCATAATTGTGCATCGTTCTGTATAGGACAGGAATGTACTCGAGTTTCCATCATGGCGTAAATGCGTCAGATGGCGACTACTCGAGAGTTTGCTTAAAAACAGGGCTTTCTAAGGCTGTGCAGGTGGTGAAAGAGGGTAGCAGAGAGTTGTCTTTGTGCTCTAAATTGAACCAAACTTTTTTGCATATCCTATTTGCAATTTCAAAAGTTGCAGCATCCATTTTAAGATGCATCAGTTGGTCAGAGCTGTAGTGACTGCTTTTTAATTTAGACCTTAACTTTCTGTCCACTTATCTTACAAAGCTGCCTGCCTCATTGCCATAGAAACCAAACCAGACCACAGTTACAAACTTCTCTCATATTTCTCAAGGAGGGCAGTGATAGCTGAATAGAAGCAGACGACTGATGCGTTTCATGATGCTACCTGGGTTGTGATGCGTCTTGGATGACTCTCAGCTGCTGTAACCCACCAACTTCACTAGATTTCCTCTCTGCTGCCTCAATTCACATTTAGATTATATTCTGTGTTCTAGCGAAGCGGGACTAGTACTGCCACCTCCTGGCCTGGATGCTCAAAGGAGAACAGAGGTGGGGAGGCAGTGAGTGAGCTACAACCTCAAGGTTAGGCTTAGTGTGAGGGGTCAGTTTGGCATTGAGGTGGCAGGGGCACAATCCCCTAACTGTGTGTGTGTGTATGTGTTAGGGGTTGGCTTAATGCAATGAAGTGCAGGCTTAAATCAGAGGGAGATCATGGGGACTAGGGTAAGGTTAGGTGTCGCTATAATATGGCACAGTCCGAATCATCCTTTTTCTCCCGTCTCCTCGGACCTCCCGGCTGGGCCGCCGCTTGACCTCTCCCCTGGAAGCAAAACAAACATACAGTAAATGGACAAGCTTCTATGTAGGACGTTTGTGATGATCAAGGGGACTTTTTCAGAATATATGAATCAAAGATAACAGAAAGTTGTCTTTTAACCTAGTACCAGAAAAGTACAACACTGCACTGTGGTGAGAGAATGCAATGAGTCCTCCACATTTTCTGCTCAAATAAATTGTAGTGTGATGGAAAAAGCACAAGGGGGCACTATTTCTTTACCAATTGTCTATACCAGCAGTCAAACATTTTCAGAGGGGACCCCATTTTTTTTGCAAGACTTTCTTGCGACCCCACATCTAATGACAATCTTAAAAATCAGTAAATGTAGATTTTTACATTAACAAATAACCTTAAATTCATTACATTTTCATCTCTTATCCAAATTAAAAGAAACAAATAAATACATATACTCAATAAAAATTGCATTTTTCAAATCTTTCTCAAAAACGTTGTATGTTGTGCAATACAATAATCTGTACACTTCATTTTCTGTTCCTAACAAAAATATAATATTTTTTTTATTTGCGTCCCCACTGCAGTTCCCCCTCGACTCTATACTGTTGTATTGTGTTTATCTTTAATTTATTTTATTTAACTAGGCAAGTCAGTTAAGAACAAATTCTTATTTACAATGATGGCCTACCCCGGCCGACGCTGGGCCAATTGTGCGCCGCCCTATGGGACTCCCAATCAAGGCCGGATTGTGATACAGCCTGGAATCGAACCAGGGTCTGTAGTGACGCCTCTAGCACTGTTGAAGTATTGAATTAAAGCCTAGAGAGGGCACTATCTTTCCTTCTAGTAAAAGTCTTGATAGTGTGGTTGGTTACCTGCTGTGCTGGGGCCTGGGAGGGACCTTGTTGTTGTTGTTGTTGCTGCTGCTGGTACTCCTCCTCCTGCAGCCGTCTGGCCAGGTCCAGGTCACTGAGGGGCCCCGGGGCCGCCCCCTGCTGCTGCTGCAGAGACATGGCCACCAGGTAGTCCTGGCAACCAAGCATACACCACGGGGTGAGTGAATGTGTACAGTCGTGGTCAAACGTTTTGAGAATGACACAAGTATTGGTCTTCACAAAGTTTGCTGCTTCAGTGTTTTTAGATATTTTTGTCAAGATGTTACTATGGTATACTGAAGTATAATTACAAGCATTCCATAAGTGTCAAAGGCTTTTTTTCAAGACCTCTGCAATCCGCCCTGGCATGCTGTCAATTAACTTCTGGGCCACATCCTGACTGATGGCAGCCCATTCTTGCATAATCAATGCTTGGAGTTTGTGGGTTTTTGTTTGTCCACCCACCTCTTGAGGATTGACCACAAGTTCTCAATGGGATTAAGGTCTGGGGAGTTTCCTGGCCATGGACCCAAAATGTTGATGTTTTGTTCCCCGAGCCACTTAATTATCACTTTTGCCTTATGGCAAGGTGCTCCATCATGCTGGAAAAGGCATTGTTCGTCACCAAACTGTTCTTGGATGGTTGGGAGAAGTTGCTCTCGGAGGATGTGTTGGTACCATTCTTTATTCATGGCAGTGTTCTTAGGCAAAATTGTGAGTGAGCCCACTCCTTGGCTGAGAAGCAATCCCACACATGAATGGTCTCAGGATGCTTTACTGTTGGCATGACACAGGACTGATGGTAGCGCTCCGCTTGTCTTCTCCGGACAAGCTTTTTTCCGGATGCCCCAAACAATCGGAAAGGGGATTCATCAGAGAAAATTACTTTACCCCAGTCCTCAGCAGTCCAATCCCTGTACCTTTTGCAGAATATCAGAATATCTCCCGAGTGGCGCAGTGGTCTAAGGCACTGCATCGCAGTGCTAGCTGTGCCACTAGATATCCTGGTTTGAATCCAGGCTCTGTCGTAGCCGGCCGCGACCGGGAGATCCATGGGGCGGCGCACAATTGGCCCAGCGTCGTCCAGGGTAGGGGAGGGAATGGCCGGCAGGGATGTAGCTCAGTTGATAGAGCATGGCGTTTCCAACGCCAGGGTTGTGGGTTCGATTCCCACGGGGGGCCAGTATACAAAAATAATATGTATTCACTAACTGTAAGTCGCTCTGGATAAGAGCGTCTGCTAAATGACTAAAATGTAAATGTAATGTTTTTCCTGGAGAGAAGTGGCTTCCTCGCTGCCCTTCTTGACACCAGGCCATCCTCCAAAAGTCTTTGCCTCACTGTGCGTGCAGATGCACTCACACCTGCCTGCTGCCATTACTGAGAAAGCTCTGCACTGGTGGTGCCCCGATCCCGCAGCTGAATCAACTTTAGGAGACGGTCCTGGCCTTCTTCACAACAATTGAACCTCTCTCCTTGAAGTTCCTGATGATCCGATAAATGGTTGATTTAGGTGCAATCTTACTAGCAGCAATATCCTTGCCTGTGAAGCCCTTTTTGTGCAAAGCAATGATGACGGCACACCATGGTTAACAAAGGAAGAACAATGATTTCAAGCACCACCCTCCTTTTAAAGCTTCCAGTCCAGACAGAGTGATCTCCAGCCTTGTCCTCGTCAACACTCTCACCTGTGTTAACGAGAGAATCACTGACATGATGTCAGCTGGTCCTTTTGTGGCAGAGCTGAAATGCAGTGGAAATGTTTTTTGGGGATGAAGTTAATTTTCATGGCAAAGAGGGACTTTGCAATTCATCTGATCACTCTTCATAACATTCTGGAGTATATGCAAATTGCCAGGCAGCAGACTTTGTGAAAATTTATATTTGTGTCATTCTCAAAACTTTTGACCACGACTGTAGTCATGGAAATGTGCATAGAGTCTGAAATCCTTAACGTCAATGCATGATTTACAGTACATACAGATCTCAAGTTAGGATCACGTTAGACACAGACAGCGTGGCAGTTCTACCCATAAAAAACATTTAAGTATCTAGCTGCAGCATAAGATATGGAGATTGTCTCGGCGGCGCATTAGATACTGCCCACTGCCTCTGGGTGCATCTCAACTGGGTGCATCTCAAACTGAAAACGGTGGCGGTGTGTGGTGGAGTGGGGGTCACTGACCTGGTCGATCTGTCTCTGCTGCTGCTGGGGCGTGAGGTCGTCGGGCTGTGTCACGAGGACGCTCCTCTGGGGTGGGTGGCACAGTCGGAAGTCTGAGCCGCAGAAGTTGCCGTCGCCCTCCACGTTGTGCAGGCTCTCCCACACCAGCCCCTCCTCCTGCAGGAAGCCCTGGTCTGTCACCAGCAGGTACAGGTGGCCCTGTGGGGTCACAAGGTCAAAGGTTAGAAGGCAGTCACTGAGGGGAGGTGAGCAGCGTTTTAGAGAATGTTGTGCTACTCCAGGTCGCTTGAGGAAAGAACATTACAGAACATGCTACATATCTCTTTGTCAAGTAGAATACAGTCTGTTCTATATATTACATTTCTATCTGCAATGTTCTGTATGTTGCACCCTATAGATTGAGCCCTTGGTAAATTCCTTTAACACACACACACGCACCTTGTGCTTTATCATAGTGCTAAAGTGGTTGTTTCTGAAGAATACGGACAGCTCGCCCTCCTTGACAGTAGTGTTGAGTTCACAAAGTCCATGATACGACAGCTGGGTCGCTGTGGACTCCAGAAACTGCTCTGCCACCAAACCTGAGACGGAGAAGTATCAGCATAAGAGAGTAAGGGGAATTTTATTTTATTTATTTAACTAGGCAAGTCAGTTAAGAACAAATTGTTATTTACAATGACGGCCTACCAAAAGGCAAAAGGCTTCCTGTGGGGACGGGGGCTGGGATTAAAAATATAAATATAGGACAAAACACACATCACGACAAGAGAGACACCACAACACTACATAAAGAGAGACCTAAGACAACAACACAGCATGGTAGCAACACCACATGACAACAACATGGTAGCAACACAACATGGTAGCAGCACAAAACATGATACAAACATTATTGGGAACAGACAACAGCACAAAGGCAAGAAGGTAGAGACAACTGTCAGTAAGAGTGTCCATGATTGTATTACAGAGGAAACGGCCAAGGGAACATGTATGCTTGTGAGAATGAGAGGGGGAGAGAGAGTACAGAATGCAATTGGGATTAAATGATTAACTTCCCATCAAGACCCTCATCAATAAAACCAGTGTATTAGACCTGGGCTTGAACATAAGTCTGCACCACCTGTTGCCCATCAGGACAAGGGTTAGTGACAACTCAAATGTATGCCAAGTGAGGATTTGTACCTTCACTGACTAGACTGCTGTCGGCCGAATGCTTGTAGTCGATGATTTTCTCTACCAGCTGGTTGTAGCTTAGCTTTCCCACCGCTGCCACCATCTCAGGGCTCTGGAGAAAGAAAATAGGTTTAAACTGAAGCTCAAAACATGGGATTTGGTGCATTAATTGTGAAAGGAGGGCTTTTACCTTCACATGTTCTACAATGTGGCTTACCTGAGGGTCCACCAGCCAGCCATGGTAGAGTGGGATGTCCAGCAGGTCAAAGGCGATACACTCTGGTGTGTACTCAAAGTCTGATACGCCCGTGAAGCGCACGTTGACATCAAGGCCCGTGGACAGCTTTGGTAGAACTGCCATGGCATCGCTCATGTTCTGCGGATTCAAAGATTATTCTTTTTTACTATATATTAGAAAACTACAGATGTTGGAAACCAGGGTTGGGGGTTACTTCTGTTTAGATTACAGTTGATCTAGAGACTGAAGGGAGATTAACTTCTAGAATTGAAGATCAGACCATTTTCTACGAGTATTTTGAATTCATATTTTGAGTTGAGAAGGAATTGAATCGTACTTGCATAAAATGTAGAGTTGGTTGCACAGAAGTCCAGTATCAGCTGTTCCTAAATAATTGTCTCATATGGTTTACACCTCAGTTCCAGTGGCATGTATGGTATGGGAATGAGAATGCTGTACGATAAGGCTAAGTGGATATGCAGGTTAATTTTGTAGTACAAAGTTCACAAGGGTTTCCAAGAGACCTGCACTCTCAATCATATCTGTCCACATCTGTTTTGCCTATCATTTCTTTGTCACTGTCGACTCCTACAATATGGTGTTTGAGTGAACTAGAATCCTCTGAGTTTAGCAATGAATGAACCTAGGTCTGTCCCCTACTAAAAATACATCTTGGTCAACCGGAAGTAGTCTGTTCTTTCGACCAATCAATTGGTCGAAATGTTAAAATGTGTATTTTTCTATATATATATACACTGTATACACACCCTATTTGTTTAATAAAATCAACTATATGCATTGAGCTTGTCTGATGCTTTAAGCTCACTGTTTTATGAAATATGACACAAATTACTCAACAGGGTGCCAGAGATCAAGATAACCCGAAGAAAAAAACCTTAACCTGTCCTGACCACCCTCCTCCTTTCTCAGATTCTGCTATTCCTCTTCTAAAGTTTCCGGTAATAGGCTACACGAGGAGTCAGCAAACTTTCTCAGGTGGAATGCCAATTTATCTTACCATTTCTACCGATCTGCGTGCCAGTTATGGTTTTCATATGCACATTTTCATGGAACATTTTCATTTCATTTATAATAACGTCTCCGTATATCAAAATCATTGTCATGTGGTTAATCAAATTCGATCCAAATCTAAATGAAAATGATACAAACCTAAAAAGTAACTTCTACTGCCCACTAGGCTATGTAAAAATAGCCTATAAAGCAAACAAATAAAAACATTGCAGCCTGCAGGTAGAAAATATCCTGATAAAAAAATGCATGGCCTGTCTGCAATGAACTTGAAACATTGTATCAACTATTAGCTTAAAGCTCCTTGCAACATTGTATAAATATTCTGGGCCCTCAGTTTCCTGCACAAGTGAGCTCGGACAGACACAGCTGTAGGCTATTTGCGCAAGTGATAAGAAGTAATCAGGTAGGCCTATTTTATGACGTTTCCACTGGATCAGAGCATGACAGTTTTCCCTTTCACGCTGAGTGGTTATCGAAAGGGAGAGAGCTGGAAAGACTTTTAAAATACACTGCTCAAAAAAATAAAGGGAACACTAAAATAACACATCCTAGATCTGAATGAATGAAATAATCTTATTAAATACTTTTTTCTTTACATAGTTGAATGTGCTGACAACAAAATCACACAAAAATTATCAATGGAAATCAAATGTATCAACCCATGGAGGTCTGGATTTGGAGTCACCCTCAAAATTAAAGTGGAAAACCACACTACAGGCTGATCCAACTTTGATGTAATGTCCTTAAAACAAGTCAAAATGAGGCTCAGTAGTGTGTGTGGCCTCCACGTGCCTGTATGACCTCCCTACAACGCCTGGGCATGCTCCTGATGAGGTGGCGGATGGTCTCCTGAGGGATCTCCTCCCAGACCTGGACTAAAGCATCCGCCAACTCCTGGACAGTCTGTGGTGCAACGTGGCGTTGGTGGATGGAGCGAGACATGATGTCCCAGATGTGCTCAATTGGATTCAGGTCTGCGGAACGGGCGGGCCAGTCCATAGCATCAATGCCTTCCTCTTGCAGGAACTGCTGACACACTCCAGCCACATGAGGTCTAGCATTGTCTTGCATTAGGAGGAACCCAGGGCCAACCGCACCAGCATATGGTCTCACAAGGGGTCTGAGGATCTCATCTCGGTACCTAATGGCAGTCAGGCTACATGGAGGGCTGTGCGGCCCCCCAAAGAAATGCCACCCCACACCATGACTGACCCACCGCCAAACCGGTCATGCTGGAGGATGTTGCAGGCAGCAGAACGTTCTCCACGGCGTCTCCAGACTCTGTCACGTCTGTCACGTGCTCAGTGTGAACCTGCTTTCATCTGTGAAGAGCACAGGGCGCCAGTGGCGAATTTGCCAATCTTGGTGTTCTCTGGTAAATGCCAAACGTCCTGCACGGTGTTGGGCTGTAAGCACAACCCCCACCTGTGGACTACGGGCCCTCATACCACCCTCATGGAGTCTGTTTCTGACCGTTTGAGCAGACACATGCACATTTGTGGCCTGCTGGAGGTCATTTTGCAGGGCTCTGGCAGTGCTCCTCCTGCTCCTCCTTGCACAAAGGCGGAGGTAGCAGTCCTGTTGCTGGGTTGTTGCCCTCCTACGGCCTCCTCCACGTCTCCTGATGTACTGGCCTGTCTCCTGGTAGCGCCTCCATGCTCTGGACACTACGCTGACAGACACAGCAAACCTTCTTGCCACAGCTCGCATTGATGTGCCATCCTGGATGAGCTGCACTACCTGAGCCACTTGTGTGGGTTGTAGACTCCGTCTCATGCTACCACTAGAGTGAAAGCACCGCCAGCATTCAAAAGTGACCAAAGCATCAGCCAGGAAGCATAGGAACTGAGAAGTGGTCTGTGGTCACCACCTGCAAAACCAGTCCTTTATTGGGGGTGTCTTGCTAATTGCCTATAATTTCCACCTGTTGTCTATTCCATTTGCACAACAGCATGTGACATTTATTGTCAATCAGTGTTGCTTCCTAAGTGGACAGTTTGATTTCACAGAAGTGTGATTGACTTGGACTTGTTGTTTAAGTGTTCCCTTTATTTTTTTGAGCAGTGTACATTGAGGAATTATTGTCATTCTCAATGGATGTAAAAACAGACTTTGTTCGCTTGCTGTTTGAGGTGAAGATCCAATTTGTAAGTCGCTCTGGATAAGAGCGTCTGCTAAATGACGTAAATGTAAATGTAATGTAAATGTGAAGAAAACATTACTTTGAGAAACTCCACAGCTCATTAGTGGTAGTGTATTAAGCCAATCAGAAATACTATCAGATCCCCAAATGGGCACATTTATATGCCTACATCTGCGAGCAGGCCAGGTAGCATATACTACTACTTCTATGCGTAATCAGGTGCGTGTCCTTACTCAACATTGACAGGTGAGCTCCAAACAAAAGACAATGACTAAATTGACAAAACTCGTAAATGGAATGAAATAAAACAAAACTTGTTTCTCACAAGTGTAGCATAGGTTGTGCGCTCAGCAAACAACGTGTCCACTCCGACAATGAGAACGGTAAAAGATTGGAATAATAATATATCGAATGCATTAACAGACTTTACCGTAACCAAACACATATTGTAGACTAGAAATGATAGGAATTATTGGTAAATATACTACTGGTGATATAGCCTATGTAATGGGGAATTGATAGACACTAACAATCAAACGCAAACAATTCACACAATGAAGTTATGAAACAATGAATGTGCACAAATTGGTGGGAGGGAGCGCATTCTGGAGAGAGACGTGCATTGTGCAGCCACACTCCCCTTCTTGGACTGTGCCATCCCCGCGGCCTCCACAATGGATTAGTCTCGGACTCCACAATGGATTAGGTTCAGAGATGGGCGCGAATAAGACCGGTGTCTCGTGTCCCATAAAAAATATATATATATTTGCTACTGCTCGACAAAAAAATACAAAAAATGTCGACCAACAGCCTATCGACCAAACAATCGACCAGTTGAATAATTGGGGTCAGCTCTAAAGGAACCAGATTGTGGAACACAACCACAGCTCTGAACAACACATGTAACTGAGCTTTCAAGTGTCAGAGCCAGGTGGTTGGATCATGGTGCTTACAACATCCTGCATGCCACACATACTGAATAGATGGGTTGACTGTAAGTCACTTTGTATTAAAGAGCTGCTAATGACTATTAAGTGAATTGGCTGCATCCACACAAGTCCTACCTTGCCACCTATTTGTTTTTGAGGCTTACACCTTCCTGTACATGTTGATACAGTCCAGTATTTGTTGATCCTTGTTGTTCCCTAAGCTCATTATTATCTTACTCTAGTGGCAGCTGTTGTGGCTTAGCACTGATGACAGCGCTGCATTTACTGTAAGAACAGCTCCCTGCGTGGCTTCTGCCTCTGCAGTGGACTCCACTTCCCCTTACAAATGTGTCACTGTACCTTACACCCAACCAAACACACACACAATTATGTGCACACAGCTACAAAAAGATAGACCAGTGGCGGCTGCTGAGGGGAGGACGGTTCATATTAATGGCCGGAACGGAGCAAATGGAATGGCGTCAAACACACGGAAACCATTTGTTTTATGTATTTGATAACATTTAACTTATTCCGCTCCAGCCATTACCACGAGCCCATCCTCCCCAATTAAGGTGCCACCAACCTCCTGTGAGATAGACACAGACAGACATGCACCTGCAGACGTACACGTCCAAACACAAATGCGCACACACATGCGCACAGCTCCGAAAAATGTTCAGACAACACAGGCAGAGTGTCATAAATAAGCCAAGTGGACAGACGTCTGTTTGTGTGTTAAATACAGAGGTGAGTTTACCTGCTGAAAGTTGAGCTCCATTCCCTCAGCCTTCTCCCTGGGTTTGATGGACAATACACACTCTCCTGTGGCAGAAACAACAGAAATACTAATTGCGGGAGTATAAAAACAATGGGTAATGTGGTTCTCAGACAGCGAGTGACCAAACAGAAATGCGTGTTATAATATAAAGTGCCTTCAGAAAGTATTCATACCCCTTGACGTATTCAACATTTTGTTGTGTTACACCCATCTACACACAATACCCTATAATGAGAAAGTGAAAACATGTTTTTAGAAATTCTAGCAAATTTATTGAAAATGAAATATCTAATTTACATCAGTATTCACACCCCTGAGTCAATACATGTTAGATTTACCTTTGGCAGCGATTACAGCTGTGAGTCTTTCTGGGTAAGCCTCTAAGAGCTTTGCACACCTGGATTGTACAACATTTGCACAGTATTCTTTAAACAATTATTTGAACTCTGTCAAGTTGGTTGTTGAGCATTGCTAGACAGCCATGTTCAAGTCTTGCCATAGATTTTCAAGCCGATTTAAGTCAAAACGGTAACTAGGCCACTCAAGAACATTTAATGTCGTCTTGGTAAGCAACTCCTGTGTATATTTGTCCTTGTGTTTTAGGTTATTGTCCTGCTGAAAGGTGACTTGTTAAGCATATTTTTACTCCTGAACTTATTTAGGCTTGCCATAACAAAGGGGTTGAATACTTATTGACTCAAGACATTTCAGCTTTTCACTTTTAATTCATTTGTAAACATTTCTTAAAACATAATTCCACTTTGACGTTATGGGGTATTGTGTGTGTAGGCCAGTAAATCTAAATTGAATCCATTTTTAAAATTCAGGCTGTAAAACAAAAAAATGGAAAAAGTCAAGGGGTGTGAATACTTTCTGAATACACTGTATTTCTCCATGGTAATGGTCAGAGTTGACTGCTTTTCCAATCTGCTAGATCTTTCAATGACTTAAGCCCTTGGCTCCTGGAGCATAGGGCCAGTGATGATCTTTCATTTACAGCCTGATAATATGCAGTCTCTTTAGTTACTCATATTTTCATGCATTGGTTGCATTTTCATATGTGTCGTGACAACCTCAATGTAATGTATGAAATGTGTTGTTTACTGGAAGTTACAAAGCAATAACTTCAGTGTAACAAAGTCTGTATGGAAGTGCAGTTAATAACTTCCTCGTTTCTTACCAAGGTGAGCCATCAGGTCCTCTGTGGTGATTACTTCTGTCTGGGCGGGTAGCTTGGCCTGAGGACAAATCACACAAGATTTTAATTCGTAAGTACTTTTCTTGACCCATGTTCATTAAACAATAGATTCTCTGAAGCTGACATCCTGCCATTTGTGAACATAAATTCTGTGTTGCTCAATTTTGAAAGATGTTAATGGTACAAACAGATTATAGGATTCAGAAGGCCTCTAGAAACGTCCCTCCCGCCTGTGTCATGTCACTAATTCTGGCCTGCATACACACCTCTGATGTCATCCTCAGAGTGTGTCATCCTCACCCTTACTCTCAGTCACCTTAAGAAGGCCAATGAAGTCCCTCAATAGTAAAAGTGCATCTCAATAGTCTAAAGTGGCATCCTCTCTTTGGCTCCTTCCATTGATCTGCACTGATCTGAAAAAATAGACCAGTGAATTCAAAATCCCCCAATAGTCCTACAATATGGTGCTTTACCATATCATATGTTTTGAGATCAGTGCAGATGAAGTAGGCCTAAAGCCACTTAAGACAATTGAGATGCATAGTCATGGACCCCATTAGTCCCATATAGCGGTTTCTACAGTCCGACATTACCTTCCAGCGTAGAAACAGGGTGTTCATGATGGCCAGCAGGGGACAGGGCCCGTTCTCACTCTGTGTGATGATTGGTGTCTTCTTCTCCTTCCAGGTGATCCATTTCACAAAGTAGTAGGCCGGCATCATGGGCTCTGGGTCCGGGGCGGCGGTGGCTCCTCCCGTGCCTGCGGCTGCAGCAGCGTCAGCCAGGACGTCATCGGCCAGGCAGGGGACGTCAGCAGAGGGGGAGCGGCCCTCGATGCCCAGGGCAGAGTAGGATGACAATGGCTCGTCATTCCCTGTGTTACCCTCGGTGAACTCCAGGCTGGGGATGGAGAAGGAGGCAGAGTCGGTGGTAGCAGACTGGCTATGCTCGTCCGACCTTCCAAACGTGGCCTCTGAGCTCTCCCCGTTCCCTTCTGTCAGAGTTTGGCTCTGCGGGGTGGATTGAGCGTCTTCTGTTGTGCTGTTTTCAGACATGGCGGTACACGTGGCGGTTGGTGTGAGTGCGGTTTTCCTGTGTTTGTCAGAACCTTCTGCTTCCATAATTGGGGTCTTGACTGATGGGACTTTGGTGGAATCTTCATGGTCCAAGGGCTCTGCTTTGTGGCTTTCTTTAGCCACAGAGGACCCTGGTGTAAGGCCGCCCTCTTCAGAAATGGCCTCTGTCAGAGAGCAGTCATCTTTGACAACGCTCAGGAGATCTCCTCCGACTATCTCGGTGCCAGAATCCGCCATAGCTGGGCAATGTTCAATGTAGCACTTAATCAATAGAAAATAAGGCCAAGTCGTCGGTAAAGACTACTTCTGGCTTAGGCTGTATAAGCATAGAAAAACAAACTCAGCCCTTTACATTAAGTATATTCACGGCTTTAAAAGTTGGCAGTGACCTTCTAGGTGAACCTTGAGGGAAATCTACTCGACAAGCAGTTCCCTGGTATTCCTGAGTAACAGTGTCCTTAGTTTGCAAAACAGGGTTGATGGACGGCTACAGCAGAATCCACAGACGCTCTGTCGGTTATGTCATTCAGACTGTAAGACAGAGTGGATTTCATACGGCCTTAGCTATCTACTTGCACATTTTCTTTCAGTTCAAGTGTGGGGTGTCAGATAACAACTAGGTTACCTTTATGACATTGCACATGGGCTTCTGGTAAATTTAGTGAAAGTGTAAAACTCTACAAGCTTTCCTCTAACAAAAGATAATGCTCTTTACACAAAATATATATATATATGTAACCTTAACAAAACTACAATTATCTTACAGATAATTTTCAGCACTGCCTCTGTCCATTATACAGTAAGATATCTACAGCTCCCTGACAGATAGGTTTGGTTTCATAGCTTCTGGCAAGCTACATCTGTAAATTATAGCAAAGTTATCTTTGGGGGGAGGCAAAACTTATCTGGTTATAAAAGTTGTGTTTTTCCTGACTATACAAGGGAATACACCAGAAAGATGGACAAGTGACAAGGGAGATGGAGCTGGTCAAGCTTGTCCCTTGCCTCGTGACATGAATGACTCAGTATGTTTTTAGGATATCAATGCGGTATGGTTGACTTCTTAGCCTCGTCCCATTATATCAGCTGGAGAATTCGAGTAACCATATTCTTAAATTGTACCAGACCTGCAAGTAAAAGATCAGTCAGTGAAATAATAAATTGTTCTCTAACAACACATATTCTTCTTCTAACAATGTTATAGGACTGACCCTGGGGTTGACAAACTACTGAGAATGTAACGCTAACTATAAAGCCGGTCTAGAAAATGTTGCTTCTGTCAAGCAACACCAGAACTGGCTACTGTCCTGTCCTATAGACTCATGGTGATGCTCAGAAGTTGATAGCGCCCATCACTACCCGGCAACGAGTATCTTGATGATGTTGGCAGCTTGTTAGCTTGCTAGCTAGCTGACCAGCAGAAAATAAAACAACCTACCATGAAGCCAGTTGACAGCGTAAATGGCAACAAAAAAAAGTCGTGAAATTCAGCCTGTTGTTGGTCCAATCAAGAGCGAATTTAGATTTTTACGAAAAGATACTGACTGACTTGATCACGTTATCGAGCTTCGCTGGCTGACAACGGCATACTATTTACATTCCACGGTCTCTTCGTTCGCAATCTTGAATTCGCTTACTCCACTTTACTTCATCTACTACAGTCTGTAAACAATGATGTCACGAGCTGCATTAACCACAGGGGGGAAACTCATTTTTAGATGTCATGCACCAAGCTACATACATACAATTCATTTAGTACAATATGCAAACCCAAAATATCTCGGAAAAATAGAAAATACTCAGCAAATATGCGAATTCATCAAACTCCAACTACATTAAATGATTGTGAATGTAATCTTCATGGGGACACAAGTGGTTGGAGGAGAGAACTGCAAATATACTGGTAGTGTTCATGAGCGTCATATCTCCTTGTTGTGCAGTACTGCAGAGACGAAAGTCTAAAATGTGTGCTTAGTGTATATTATATGTGACATATAAAGACGATAAACACCTGCTCTCATTAATGAGGGAACTGAATAAAATAGTATAATCGTCCAATTCCAACACAGCTTCCTTTCTTCCATGTCTTGTTTTGACCATCATTCTGATTCTAAAAGTAGGATTTGTGTTGGTAAAATGTAAAATACATATACAAATTCTGGAAATATGTTGTGTTGATATTGTCATGAGTTGAAAAGTATGGGACACACAGCTCTGGAGGGGCTTGCTTTTTGGGACTACTCCACATGTGACGTCACGAATTTACCTGCGTAAACACACCCACTTTCGAGTGATGGGCATTCCGAGTCTTTTCAGTGAGCTGGCTCATTTGGCTCTGTTCCAAAATGACCTTTCGTTCAGTAGCGCTTAAAAACGTGCCTAAAACCATGAAAAAATTGCACATCTCCAGAGTTGTGAGAATTTGATGACTTGAAACTAAACTTGATAGAAAATAAAATAACTTGAGACTTGACTTGGATTTGGAGTCTCAATACTCTGGACTCGACTTTGACCTGAGACTGATGACTTGAAATTATCTGGCCAGGTTTTGTAATGTTTGGTCACTCATTTTGTGGCACATAGTTTACGTGGATTACTTTACATACAGCTAGAGACCGTAGCCGCAGCATCGCCCTTAAAAAAAAAACCTGCAACAGATTGGCTGAAACGCACACTCGGCACTCTGGTTGGACCAGCAAACTGTCAATCAACACAGGTCGGGTGAGCTAGCGAACAGATTGCTGATTTGCTGTAGTGTACAGCTATAGGATCGTGTGCAGCGCAAACGTCAAATTGTAGGAAGAGAGGATTGCCATAATAAATAAATACGCAGCTCCCAAAAAAAATGGTGATCAACAATATTAACTGTTTACTTTGCAAGCTCACCAGCAATGGGGCAACAATTACTAGCATAGGCTTACTTGTCTTGTGGGTTGTAACAATTGCTTGCATTTGTAATTTGTTGTTCAAATTAATTATTACTGTGGCAAAGACGCAGCATAGGTGAGGCTCTTCACTTGCGCTCTCCAAACCCCTGCCAGTGGATCGTTTTGTTTTTTTCTCTTATTGAAATGTTTGCTGTTGCTGTCACACATTTAAATACATAGGGCCTAAGTGGTAAATCTATATGCCATCTAATACTACAATAATTACTAGCGTTTCATGTACCGTTTATTGCAACACATAGACATTTATGTTTAATCTTTGATAGGCCTATGATACATTTTCATTTAGCCAACCATTTATTACCCTGCTCGGAGTGGGCGCGATGTATATAGTGCACATGAACGTTTGCAAGACTCATGAGGTAGAAGTTATGTTTATTTAATTCAATGTATGGTTTCTTTCGTTCATATTTCCCGGGTTATGTCGGAGCTCGTTTATCTGTGTCTTTATGGTTGTGCATAATAAGGAGCGCGCGCGCCTCATTGTGCATAGAAATCCGCCGATGCTTCGTGGCCTGCGCTCAACGCTTTGGAGTTAGAACGTTGAATAAGATAAAATGATTGTTCGTTCCATGCATGCATGGTGTTGAAATATCATTAATAGTCATTACGTCTGATTAAGACGAATGTACCAATGTAACAATGGATGTGGAAATTGCCTTCTACATTGTAGAACCAGTTTATTGGTTATAATTGCCAATTAGCCAAGTGCTTATATTATGTAGGCCTACCTGTTTGAGTTCCTGTTCGACCGATTCGATTTGGTTGTACGGTCTTGCCCTCAACCTGTGTCCTTTCAGATAGGACAGGTTAAGCCTGATACAGAGGCTATTTATTTTGGGCTATTACCCGTGTATATTTGGTAAATCTATCTACTTGTATATTTTGTATGATATGGGGCTTTCACCATTGGATCACCAAGACCTGTAAATAAATCTACACTCTGAGCACGTCAACCCGACTTGCCTTCTGCTGATTTCATGCCCTTATGACAGCTACAAGGTCCCTATTTTACAATTACATAGGCTAGTCAAAATTTGACAAAATAATGAAAAGGCCTGTCTGGTAGCCTCAATAAATAGACAAAGATTTGTAGTTGAACAAGTCGTTGCATGTATAGATTTTCTTGTTTTACTTCACTTGAAACTTGTGACTCTACTCGACTTGACTTGCTCTTAGAATGCACGACTTGGACTTGACTCGAGTCTTGACCAGTTCTTCTTGGAACTCGACTTGAGACTCCGACCTTGTGATTTGAGACTTGCTTGTGACTCAAATAATAGTGACTTGGTCCCTCTGCAAATCTCGAATGTAAAGCCTACAACGTTGCCTGCCATTATGTCAGACCGTGACATGCGAGACCAAATGCATTTTTACCTGTCCAAATTATTAGATGGCCTGCAAAAAAAAGATGAAAAAAATGAACGCACTGCAACAATATGTGTGGACCAGAAAAAGGCTCTCTCCTCACTATCAATTGTTCCTGCAGTGAGGAATTACAATCTTCAGAGCATGTTTTTATAACCTATCTGCAGATAATCGTTGTCTAGAGCTCAAAAAGCAGTAGTAACAGTCTGCAAATCAGGAAGCCAAATGAACGGCTCTTTCACATATGCGATTCGGTTCCCGGGGTTCACCAAAAAGAGCCGTTCGTTCGCGAACGACACATCACTACCACTTTCTACCCTTCAGGAGCTGCTGCTTTTCAAAACGTGGTGTAGGAATATTTTGTCAATTTGTCTTTGCAGAGGACACAGGTCTGTAAACATTCTGTTTGGCAGAATATCCCAGGCGTGCTCTACGCTGGCGAAAATGGAGGGGTTTCTACAGAGATGTAGCGCTGCATTAAAGGTAGGCACACACACGAACACGTTTACTATACATTCCATATTTTACAAATGTTTCAGTTGCTCTGTTTAATGACTAGCCTTGTCCATCGCGTGTTCTCTCTGCTGTCTGTCATGCAATTAATTTAAATATTCAAACTGTCTAAATTACTGTTACAGAGGCTGGTCACTTTCTTCCAAGACATTACTGCTTTTACAATTGAATTAGCTACCCCATGACTAATATATTACTATTATATTATTCATAATGTATGGATATCCTGACAACCTAACTATCAACAAAAATTTAGAGTTTATTGATTCATTCTCTCAAGTTACAAAATAGCAGAATTGAACACAGAGTCAAATTGCAGTATGGTTCTAGATTCTAAAAATCAATTTTCATAAAGATGATGAATCTTCTTCTTGTAAAAGGTCTAACACACACAACACAGAGAGCCATGACTCATGAGGAGGTGGTGTGTAAATGAAGAGCTAGAATTGTCAGAGAGCAAAAGGTAGAATACTGCCCACTGAAACTTCAATTACAGTCATTGTCATATATTGCATTTTTCAGGATATTTTGAAAGGGGTTGTCACAGTAGAGTCAGATGACCAATGCCATGAGGGTTAATCATTTGTATGACTTTTTAGTAAAGTGCAAAGAGCCTGACATGGCAATTTCCTTTTTGTGCCACCCTGGCATCTCCTGCACCCTGTATTCCCTGTGTGTGCACAATCAAGACTAAAGGTGCCATGTGTGGTGGGTTCCCCTGTCTATATAGGCTATGTTGGCACACGTACACCTCTCTCTTTCTCCGGCTGGAGTCTGGGCTAAAGCTCTCACTTCCAAATTCCTGTGGCCCAACAGCTTGACTGTTGTGCATGTGACATTAATAGTGACATTAGGTGTCACCTCTGTCACTATGCTTGAATGGCAGACATCTCATCCCCCCTCCCTCCTTCCCCTGCAGCCTTGGTGTGGAATGCCGCTGTCTTTGGCTGTCAGGCACAGTGAAGGTTTAAAGAGAAGGTGTCTAATTTCAAGGGGTCAGCGATTACTCTTGAGGAGTCACCATTAACCCTCTTTACTTTTGTTTTTTTTCCGTCAGAGAACAGCTGTGGTGGGATATCATATGGTCGAGCAATCAGAGAACACATTCGAGACATGACGTGAGACTAATTAAAACATGAAATGGGCTGAATTGATTTCCCTTCTTAAAACCCTCTCCGTATGACACTGTAGTATGTATTAGGCCTAGTTGTAGTTTGTAGTAGGCCTAGTTATAGTTTGTAGTAGGCCTAGTTGTTGTTTGTAGTGGCCTAGTTGTAGTTTGTAGTGGCCTAGTTGTAGTTTGTAGTAGGCCTAGTTGTAGTTTGTAGGAGGCCTAGTTGTAGTTTGTAGTGGCCTAGTTGTAGTTTGTAGTAGGCCTAGTTGTAGTTTGTAGTAGGCCTAGTTGTAGTTTGTAGTAGGCCTAGTTGTAGTTTGTAGTAGGCCTAGTTGTAGTTTGTAGGAGGCCTAGTTGTAGTTTGTAGTGGCCTAGTTGTAGTTTGTAGTGGCCTTGTTGTAGTTTGTAGTAGGCCTAGTTGTAGTTTGTAGTAGGCGTAGTCGTAGTTTGTAGTAGGCCTAGTTGTAGTTTGTAGTAGGCCTAGTTGTAGTTTGTAATAGGCCTAGTTGTAGTTTGAAGTGGCCTATTTCCTTTTTGAGATGAAGAGAAGTGCTGCGAGCAGGGGGAAAGCCTTCCTTAACTCACCATTACCCCCAAGCCAATGGGTTTTGATTCATTCTTTTAAACGTTATTCTTTCCCAGCATCCTCCCCCTTCTCCAAATATGATTTCCCATTTTAAATGGGCGTAATCAAAGCCTCGTGGCATACTTCCTGGCTCTTGTCGTCTGTTAGATTTAATGTTTCTGCCCACTGGTCAGATGCTTCTGTTTGGTCCACTCAACCACTTAGGTCAGGTTATATCTGAATACTGCCACACAGCAGGTCTCTGTGTTCTGATGGGCACTGGGCAGCCTTAGTTTAGCCACTGTCACTTCACATTATGGCCTCCTCACATGGCTGGAGACTAAGTGTTGATGTTTATGTCTGGGGTCGTCCCTGACTACTCTACCTGTGGAGCTAGAATAAGAAGGAGAACTAGCCTAACGTTTTGTATGCCTGTCCTGTCTCACGCCCACACACTCACGGGTTGGGGAGCCCTCAACATGCTCATCTTTCCCATAATCAAACACTTTAAGACAATTTAATGTTATTGGTTGCAGCAGTCTTTCTTTTCAGTGATGGGGCAAGGCTAACCGGTATGTTCAATAGATCGAGACAGTAGCCAAGATCGAGACAGTAGAGATCTGTAGAGGTCAGATAGTTCCTTCCTTGACTCTGTGTGCCATAATTCTGTTGTTATGATTTTATTTTATATTTTATAAACAATACAAAACATACACATACAAACAACAACATCAGACAAACATTAACTAGAACACACCCCCATCTCCAGCGCCCGCATCACTTTCCGCCACATGGCCTCAAATTGCACTCTCTCCTTAGCCCACGCACTTTACATTTTTAGATAATAAAGCATTTTACTTTTCCATTGCGTTAATGACGGACGATTGGTTGATTTCCAGTTTTGAAGTCTACGTTTTTAAAAAGATGATTGACGAGAAAATATCGTCCAACCCATCGGGTATCTCACTGCACCCTCATATGCCATGTCTTGAAATATTCAGACAGACGGATTAAAATAAATGGTCTAATTAAGCAATAAGGCCTGAGGGGGTGTGGTATATGGCCAATATACCACGGCTAAGGGCTGTTCTTATGTACGACGCAACGCGGAGTGCCTGGATACAGCTCTTAGCCGTGGTATATTGGCCATATACCACAAACCCCCAAGGTGCCTTATTGCTATTATAAACTGGTTACCAACGTAATTAGAGCATTACAAATAAATGTTTTGTCATACCCGTGGTATACGGTCTGATATACCACGGCTGTCAGCCAATCAGCATTCAGGGCTTTAACCACCCAGTTTATAATTTTGTTTATACATGTTTTTTGTTTTGCCTATCTAAGGAATGTCAAACTGCCCAAGTTCATAACTGTTACCTAAAATTAAACCATAGCCATTACCTACCTAAAAGAACACTATTCCCAACAAAAGGGGAATCAAAGTGGAATTTGTTTAGCTGAAAAGTTATACTGATGATGAGGATGAGGAGAATAATCATAGAATGAGGAAGACTAGGGTTTGTCTCTCCTCCCTCTACTCCATCCACCAATTCCACAGTTCAGCCTTATCTCTCGTGAGTCCCTGAGGCCTGTGCTAAGTGGATTGGAGAGAGAATGCCTCAGTGTGGTGTGGTTTAACATTAACCAGATGGAATGAGAGCTATGACGGGGCACTCAGAAAGCGGAACAGGTGAGAGTAACCAGCGTGCCTTAGATTTGTGCTTGAGTAGTAATGGAACAATATTGACTCATCAATATCAACTCAATGAAGCTGGCAAAGTGGCTCAAAGTGATCCCTGGCTTGAATGCTGCACTCAAATACAGGCCTAAATGGATTGCTCTGTTTTTTTTTAGTCATTTATAATAATATAATAATAATATGCCATTTAGCAGACGCTTTTATCCAAAGCGACTTACAGTCATGCGTGCATACATTATATATATATATATTTTTTTTGTGTATGGTTTGCTCTGTTTTTTTTTTGTCATTTATAATAATATAATAATAATATGCCATTTAGCAGACGCTCTTATCCAGAGCGACTTACAGGAGCAATTAGGGTTAAGTGCCTTGCTCAAGGGCACATCAACAGATTTTTCACCTAGTCGGCTCGGGGATTAGAACCAGCGACCTTTCGGTTACTGGCACAACGCTCTTAACCACTAAGCTACCTGCCACCTTAGTGTGAGATATGAGGATAGCTGTTATAAAACAGCACTGTCCTATTATAAAACAGTAATTGACATTTCTCAGCAATAGTGTGAGTTGAATATGAAGCCCGTTGCAAAACAGTTAGCATTTAACACCATTATCTACAATTGATCTGCTAATGGCACACAAAACAGATGCACAAGGACATGCATAAAGATCAGAGCTGCATGAATCAGAGCATCCTGTCATAATCATGGTACTATCGTAACACTTCCATATTTGTGTCACAGGCCTACATTTTCCCACCAACCAAGTTGTTCACCTCTTATCTAACCATTGTTTATATTTCTAGCCTTGTCTTTGAATGGATACTGCAATACTGGATTACTATAGCTGTAGTAGACGTTGCCCTGAATCGTTCTGTTTACCGTGGGGCTGTCGTGGATTCACGGTTGGAGAGCTCTGCACACACACACACACACACACACACACTCTATTGTTAAATATAGCCTCCCTTGGCTCCTGCTTGCCTGCCCGGGTCTGTCCGCTACTACGGCTGATGGGAGGTGCCGGGCATGCTGGGAAGAGAGAGATGAGAGGGAAGGGGGGGGGCTGGGCGGCCATGACGTAGTACACTCACACTGGCTGCCCGTAAGGGGCACTTACACTGGGCACTTAACATGGGGCGGAATGGCTCTCTCTCCACCCAGTTGTCTACACACTAAGCTACAGCCCAGACTGATGGGGAGAAAAACCAGTCTAGGAGGCAGACCTGGACATATTTCTTGATTTACCATTGGAAGTCAATAGGATGCACATCAATTCTCAATATGTTGAGATCAACAGGAGAGATCATACACTGCTTACACTGGTTCACAAAGTACAATGGTGGACCAATCTTATAGGTTGATTGTTAAATCTATGGTGGCCTTAAGGGGCAAAGTAGTTGTTACATTTTAGTCATTTAGCAGACGCTCTTATCCAGAGCGACTTATAGTTAGTGAGTGCATAGATTTATTTTTATTTATTTTTCATACTGGCCCCCCGTCGGAATCGAACACACAACCCTGGCGTTGCAAACACCATGCTCTACCAACTGAGCTACAGGGGGCCCGTGTAGCTCTGCATCCTCCACTAAATCTAAAAGTTAGCATATCAATCCCTACTAAATAGTTAGTGTTTGGACTTTTTCTCCTGATTTACAGATAAATGACAGGTTTCCAGCAGTTAGATTGAGAAACTAACTGAACTAGCTAATTAAAGTATTCACAATGTAGAGCAGAGTGGTTCAGATGAACTTTGCTAATTCCAGATGGTTGGTTTTGCTTTTTGTGTTTATACTGAATCCTGCCATACTGCCACACACAGTGGTAATTAGTGCTTTCACTGCTTTGCCATCATCATATCACAGCAAGGCCGTATCCCCGGTGTCAGTAATAACATTGTTTCTTTCATCATGTCACAGATAAAGTGATACTAATCACACTAATTATCACAGTGGGTCTACCAGTCGACTGCAAAATTATCAAAATGAAAGCATCTCGCTGAGTCCAATAAGGCTGTATCATAGTTGGAGCTGCACATTCACTAATTGTTATTAAAGACATCCCTCAGCAGTTTTTGAACATTTACTGTTGAAAAGCTATATCCCAAGTATAAATACATTGCAGTACACACACTAAAGGGTAAAGAAATAAGTTTTGAGCAAAATAGTTTTTTTTTGTTGACACAACTGCAAACTTCAAGGAGTAGGGCTTTCAAAGAGTTGGTCTGATGGGAATCTGTGATGTCATCGGCCCTCCTTTCTTGAGGAACAATAGAGAAACAATAGAGAAACAATAGAGGACAATAGAGGAAAAGAAGGCCCACCCCCCCACTTGTTCTATGGCATGACTTACCTGGACCACCTATTGAGATGTGCCTATTGTTAAGTAAATCAGTTGTTAAATTAGGTCAAAAGGAGACTGGAGTGCCACTTTAAAGTAGGTGTGTTCTTTGATTAGCATAGCCTAAGTAGATTAAAAGCAGCAGTCCAATAATGATAGCATAGGCTAGATGCTAACTACTGTAAGCCTGAATGAAATATAGGGATACCATTTCAGTCTGTCAAAATGGGATTTGTTTCAGTAGGCTATTCTTGGCTATTCATTAATTGACTGCAGGCAGGTATCTAGCATTCTGGGGGCTGTTTAGACAATACCAATGCTTTTTACATTTTGACTAGTGTAGTTTTGGCTGTGTAAAAAAAAAACGGTTTCGAAATCTACAATGTATAAAGCTGACAAGGAATTTTACCACTCACTTTACCCCCCCTCTCTTTTTCTTCCTTCGTTCTTCCTTCCTTTCTTCTCCCCTCATTAGGGCAGTTCGGAGGGCAGCTCTGGAATCCACGTCATCCTTGGCAACGAGGCCTGTGACCTCGACTCCATGGTGTCATCCCTCGCCTTCGCCTACTTTCTGTCCAAAGTGAGTCAGCTAGCTTCTAGCCTGTGCCACCTCTCATTAGTGAATCCCTCAACCCAGTTACCATACCTGAAGTATCCAGTCCCCTCCTCATATGTTTAGGTTTTTATACGGTAACAAGTCATTTACACTTTACTGAAGGGCTGCCGAAAGTGGGGTGCACGGGCCCTTGACAAACTTGGCCCTTGATATTTTTGGCTGGCAAGAGGCTTCCAGAATGATCTTATGTAATTATCAGCAATGTATTTTTGGGGTGGCTCAATACTGAGATTTCATTTTGTTTCAGCACTCCTGCTTTATTTGAGTCATTAGGACTACATAACACTCATAAGCATGACATAACGTCAGTTATCAAAAGCTGACACCAGTTATGCCATTATTATGACAGTGTTATGTAGCCCTTATATAACAGAGGGTTTTAGTAAATTGTTACCCAAAAATACATACACTACATGGCTACAAAAGTATGTGGACACCTGCTCGTCGAACATCTCATTCCAAAATCATGGCCATTAATATGGAGTTGGTCCCCCCTTCGCTGCTATAACAGCCTCCACTCTTCTGGGAAGGCTTTCCACTAGATGTTGGAGCATTGCTACGGGGACTTGCCAAACTTTACAGTTGGCACTATGCATTGGGGCAGGTAGCGTTCTCCTTGCATCCACCAAACCCACATTCATCCGTCGGACTGCCAGATGGTGAAGCGTGATTCATCAGTCCAGAGAATGCGTTTCCACTGCTCCAGAGTCCAATTGCGGCGAGCTTTACACCACTCCAGCCGACGCTTGGTATTGCCATGGTGATCTTAGGCTTGTGAGTGGCAGCTCAGCCATGGAAACCCATTTCATGAAAACTCCCAATGAACAGTTCTTGTGCTGACGTTGCTTCCAGAGGCAGTTTGGAACTCGGTAGTGAGTGTTGTTGCTGCTAGACGTTTCCACTTCACAATAACAGCACTTACAGTTGGCCGGGGCAGCTCTAGCAGGGCAGAAATTTGACGAACTGACTTGTTGGAAAGGTGGCATCCTATGACGGTGCCACGTTGAAAGTCACTGAGCTCTTCAGTAAGGCCATTCTACTGCCAATGTTTGTCTATGGAGATTGCATGGCGGTGTGCCCGATTGTATACATCTGTTAGCAACGGGTGTGGCTGAAATAGCCGAATCCACTAATTTGAAGGGGTGTCCACATACTTTTGGTGATGTAGTGTACCTTGTGGAAATCTTCTAGTATGAAGACCCATAGACTCTATGTTGTGGTTGTTTGAAATCAAATTGTTGGATGAATACGTCCTGCTATGCGATAATTAATATATCTGCTCATTTGAGTTTAGAGAGATGGGCCAAAGTCCTGAAGCACTCCAGGCTCAGAATTAACTATGTGAGTGACTCATTTCTAAGTCTGAGTCCATGAATAGCTTGACCAAGCGTAACCAAAATGCCCAGAATTCTCCAAAATAGGACCAGACAACCCTCAGAGTCACTCATACTCAAGCATAAAAACAATGTCTGTGCCCTGGCCACCGGGCACCAGTCTCTCCTTATCTTTCTTACTGCATTGATCCATCCGTCCTCCCTAACCCCTGGCTATAGCGGCTTGCTATACGCCCTCGCTACTCATGAAATATTCAAACAACCTCAGATACTCAAGATCCCCCAAAGGCCTGAAAAGGTGGACGGAAACATTGCAGAGGAATCACAGCTAGCCTCAGCAGCAAGGTGCAGTGGTGTCAGATGTCTGTTTTGACCTGGTCTCCCTCTTCCATCCCCCCTCCTCTCCTCCTTTCCCTTCCTCATCTTCCATCCCCCTTTGTTCCCAGACGTCTGGCAGCTCGTGTAAGACTGTGGTGCCGGTGCTGAACATCCCGAGGGCCGAGTTCCCCCTGCGGTCAGACAATGTGTTCCTGCTGAAGGAGAGCGGGGTTCCGCCAGAGGCTCTGGTGTTCCGTGACGAGGTGGACCTGGCAGGGCTCCATAGAGCCAAGAGGCTGGTGCTCACGCTGGTGGACCACAACGTGCTTCCTAGGTCAGCGGTTGCAACATTACTCTTTCTATTTATTTTCTCTTATTTTCTCACTCTCTTTCTGTTGTTCTGTCCCTTGCCATCTCTTTGCCTTTCTCTCACTCAGACTTTCTTCCACTGATACCTACAGTATCAAGTCATATTGACAACACAGGACAACTTTGTGGGAAAGTGCCTGATATGTGGAGGGCCAGTTTCCTGGACCCAGATTGAGAAAACATATAGTTAAGGATATATGACACAACGTATTTCACAATATTCAGTCAACCCTGACTTTTCCCCGTAGTGCCGACATTGACTTGGAGGAGGCAGTTGTGGAAGTCATTGACCACCACCATCTTGAGAGGACACCCTCCACTTCCTGTTTAGTCACCATGGAAACCGTGGGTTCCTGTGCCACCTTGGTGACGGAGCACATTCACCACAAGGCACCTGAAGTGCTAGACAGACAGGTGGCCCAACTATTATACGGTAAGTTTGCCACAGCAACAATTCTTTCACGTCCAGCATTCTATATAACACGTGTCAAACTCCAGTCCTCAAGGGCCACAGTGTCTCCGGGTCTTTAAACAATGCATACCTCAGAACCACAGGAGGTTGGTGGCACCTTAATTGGGGAGAATGGGCTTGTGGTTATGACTGGAGCAAAATCAGTGGAATGGTATCAAATACATCAAACAGATGGTTTCCATTTGTTCCGTTCCGGCCATTATTATGAGCCGTTCTCCCCTCAGCAGCCTCCACTGCTCAGAACTAGGCAGTGGGAAGATGGCAGGAGGAATTATTACTGAAATCGACAATTATTTTGTAGTTGCGCTTGTTTGTCAATGCAAGCAGTAACCATTGGCTCAGTTCACCTATACTTGGCAGTGTGCCCACACAGGGGCCATCGTGCTGGATTGTGTCAACATGGCACCTGAGGCGGGCAAGGTCACACCCAAGGACAGCCATCTGGCCTGCCTGCTGGAGTCGCGCTTCCCCGACCTGCCACCCAGGGGCGCCCTCTTCCAGTCCCTACAGAGCGCCAAGTTTGACATCTCAGGTAAAAAGAAAAACATGCCATGGGAAAAGTGTTGACAGGTGGACAAAATGACACTGCCTTGTCACTTGACATTCAGGGACATAGGATGTCATGACAATATGACATTATTTTGTCAGTATTATGACACTGTTATGACATACCGTTCAAATAAAGTGTTACCCGTATTTTAAAGAGTGTTGTAGAGTAAGTGTGAGATTTCACACGACGTCAAAATAATGTTGTGGAGTGACCATCTAGAAGTAAGCAAAATAATATGTAAAACCCTTCAGGTAGGAACCTCTGCTCTGTTGACCCAATGACTGGACAAAGCAATCGATCACGTGACACCATTAATTCCTATGTGAAGACTCAATTGCGCATTCAAGCCAAATGAAGTCGGTTAAGATGGCGTCTAATGGAGACATAACGTGCGCAGTTTGAGCTACTCCAGGAAGTGGCGTTGCAGGCTAGCTCAGTGCTGCCCCCTCTTATTGAGTAACTCAAGTTGAAGGCCGACCGGGGTACCATGATATTGGTACCATGATTGTTTTCTAAATAGTGTTTTCTTTACACGAAGATTGACAACGAAGATTGCCATTTTTCCATTCACTATAATGGGGGATCCTGTTTTCTGCTAACAATGCCTGCAGGACCACGGTCGGCCTTGAACTTCCGGGGCTTCAATGAGAGGGGACAGTTGTTCTCCCTTGTGTTGACCACATTCCAGGTTTATCTTACTATGTGTTATGTTATACTGGTACTGGGTAAAGTTCATGATGCCGTTGACCTTAACAAGGGTCCCAGGACCAGTGGAAGCAAAATAACCCCATAATATTAAAGATCCACCACCATATAAAATATTATTTTAATGTAGGTATGGGGTTCTTTTCTGCTTATGCATCCTTATTTCGACGCCATTATATACATTGTGTCAGAGAGAAAATACAACACTTGACTACATCTTAACTGTACTTGACTACATTACACCCCGCGTTGTGGTAATTTTCCATATAAATAGAGTGTTGTTGTTTATCACTTATACAGTGCCTTCAGAAAGTATTCACACCCCTTGACCTTTTCCACATTTTGTTGTGTTACAGCCTGAATTAAAAATGTATTAAATTGAGTTTTTTTTTGTCACTGGCCTACACACAATACCCCATAATGTCAAAGTGGAATTATGTTTTTTGAAATTTGTACTAATTAATTAAAAATGAAAAGCTGAAATGTCTTGATTCAATAAGCAATCAACCCCTTGGTTATGGCAAGCCTAAATAAGTTCAGGAGTAAAAATGTGCTTAACAAGTCACATAATAAGTTGCATGGACTCACTCTGTGTGCAATAATAGTGTTTAACATGATTTTTGAATAACTACCTCACAAGTATCTGTAAGGTCCCTCAGTCTAGCAGTGAATTTCAAACACAGATTCATTCAAAAAGACCAGTGAGGGTTTCCAATGCTTTGCAAAGAAGGGCACCTATTGGTGGATGGGTAAAAAAAAAAAGCAGACATTGAATATCCCTTTGAGCATGGTGCAGTTATTAATTACACTTTGGATGGTGTATCATTACACCCCGTCACTACAAAGATACAGGCATCCTTCCTAACTCAGTTGCCGGAGAGGAAGGAAACCACTCAGGTGAAACCGCTCAATGGTGACTTTGAAACAGTTACAGAGTTTAATGGCTGTGATAGGAGAAAACTGAGGATGGATCAACATTGTAGTTACTCCACAATACTAACCTAATTGACAGAGTGAAAAGAAGGAAGCCTGTACAGAATTTTTTTTATTCCAAAACATGCATCCTGTTTGCAATAAGGCACTAAAGAAATACTGCAAAAAATGTGGCAAAGCAATTACCTTTTTGTACTGAATAAAAAGTGTTATGTTTGAGGCAAATCCATTACAACACATTACTGAGTACCACTCTCCATATTTTCAAGCATAGTGGTGGCTGAATCATGTTATGGGTACGCTTGTAATCGTTAAGGACTGGGGAGTTTTTCAGGATAAAAAAGAAACGGAATGGAGCTAAGCACAGGCAAAATCCAAGAGGAAAACCTGGTTCAGTCTGCTTTCCACTGGGAGATTAATTCACCTTGCAGATGGACAATATCCTAAAACACAATGCCAAATCTTCACTGGAGTGGTTTACCAAGAAGACAGTGAATGTTCCGAGTTACAGTTTTGACTTAAATCTGCTTGAAAATCTATGTCAAGACCTGGAAATGGTTGTCTAGCAATGATCAACAACCAATTTGAGAGTGCTTGAAGAATTTTGAAAAGAATAATGGGCAAATGTTGCACAATCCAGGTGCGAAAAGCTCTTAGAGACTTACCCAGAAAGACTCATAGCTGTAATTGCTGCCAAAGGTGCATCTACAAAGTATTGACTTGGGTGTGAATACTTATGTAAATGGATGTAGCTTTTTTTCATCAAACTGTCCTCTTTTGTTTTTATGTGAGATGGTCCAGCATCATCCTCAGACTATTGCTATAATTTTTGGTCTAATTCTCATTTCTGGAAAAAGCTTCAAATAAAGGTTAAAATCCAGGTCATGTGACATGATTAACCAAAACACAGGGCCCTATATACAGTATATGATCTACATTGTAACTTATGATATGCTGTAGTGTTTGTCATACAGTAGTGTCTATACCCAATTACATGCTGCCATTGTAATGCTGCTTGTCCCATTGGTTTGTGTTACAGGTCTTTCTACAGAGCAGATCCTGGTGAAGGACATGAAGGCTGTCTCCAGAGGCGACCTGAGACTGGCAGTCAGCGCTGTGTACATGACACTAGATGTACGTACTGTCTAGCCATGCCGTTACTTCACTTAATCCACTCTGCCACTACCATGCTTATGCCACCATGCTTTAAACTGAGACTCAGCGATATTAGGTAATCACAAGAGCAGTGCAGCCAGAGAGTGTGAGGCAAGAGGCTGAACTCGTCAGCACCAACACATATACTGTTAAACATCTGCACAGGAGTTTGCATCTCTCTAATGCAGTGTGATAGTTGCGTGACAACAAATGCTGACGATTGCAGCCTCTTGCTTCGCGCAGTCTTTGTTTGTGTCGGAAGTTGCCCTGCTCCTCGTGGTAAATGAATATAGCTGAGTCTACCTTTAACATCACCCTCTCAGCATCATACTGGGTTTATGCAAACCTTTACTCATCCCCATTAACAACAATGCGTTAGAATTGCCTACTTTGCCTTTGAATGACCAAGCAACTCTTTAACGACATAGAGTTTGCAGATGATTCACCAAGTCATATTTCCTACTCCTTCGGGAGAATTATATTCCACTATTAGAATCTTTACTCTTCAGTCATACTCTTCAGTCATGCTACAATGTTACCAATTTAGCTATCAGACTCGCTTTTAATCCTGGGAGATGATAATTTTTCAATTCTTAATTTTGGCAATGGAGCCTCTGCCTCAGGGAGGTGCAAATATATGCAGTAACAGACATCTAGGAGCGACAGTGACAGCTATATACAACTAATGGTTCATAGCATAAATTGTAGTGTTTAATTAGCATAATCAAATCAGATCAGTAGCTAAAGTGTTGCTTCAGACCAGGCTAAATAATAGTGACAGGAGTCATGTCTGTTAGTTAAGAATACTCCCTGATATCTGGGTGGCCATCGTTGCTGCAATGCAGAAGATCACAGAAGAAGAGTCCAGAGTGGGAGTCTACTGTAGTGAATACAGATAGTTGACTCCTGATGAGTGCACATCAAATAACTGATTTGGTGTCAAAGCAAATGTATTATTTTTACAAATACCTTCTCTTAGAGCTGACACAATTATTGTGTAATCGTGTAACCGACAATTATGGACAATAACCGTGAACTAACAGAAATATGTGTCATAATCATCTAAATGCATTCATTTTAGGAGAAGGGATTCAACTTTATATTCAAGTAGATATACAGTACCAGTCAAAATAGATATACAGTACCAGTCAAAAGTTTGGACACACCTACTCATTCAAAGACTATGAAATAACACATGGAATCATGTAGTAACCAATAAAGTGTTAAACAAATCAAAATATATTTTATATTTGAGATTCTTCAAATAGCCACCCTTTGCCTTGATGACAGCTTTTCACACTCTTGGCATTCTCTTAACCAGCTTAACCTGGAATGCTTTTCCAACAGTCTTGAAGGAGTTCCCACATATGCTGAGCTCTTGTTGGCTGCTTTTCCCTCACTCTGCCGTCTGACCCATCTCAATTGGGTTGAGGTCGGGGAATTGTGGAGGCCAGGTCATCTGATGCAGCACTCTCCTTCTTGGTAAAATAACCCTTACACAGCCTGGTGGTGTGTTGGGTCATTGTCCTGTTGAAAAACAAATGATAGTCCCACTAAGCCCAAACCAGATGGGAGGGTGTATCACTGCAGAATGCTTTGGTAGCCATGCTGGTTAAATGTGCCTTGAATTCTAAATAAATCACAGACAGTGTCACCAGCAAACCACCCCCAAACCATAACACCTCCTCCTCCATGCTTTACGGTGGGAACTACACATGCGAAGATCATCCGTTCACCCACACCGCGTCTCACAAAGACACGGCGGTTGGAACCAAAAATCTCAAATTTGGACTCCAGACCAAAGGACAGATTTCCACCGGTCTAATGTCCATTGCTCGTGTTTCTTGGCCCAAGCAGGTCTCTTCTTCTTATTGGTGTCCTTTAGTAGTGGTTTCTTTGCAGCAATTCAACCAAAGGCCTGATTCACACAGTCCCCTCTGAACAGTTGATGTTGAGATGTGTCTCTGACTTGAACTCTGTGAAGCATTTATTTGGGCTGCAATTTCTGAGGCTGGTAACTCTAATGAATTTATCCTCTGCAGCAGAGGTAACTCTGGGTCTTCCATTCCTGTGGCGGTCCTCATGATACCAGTTTTATCATAGTGCTTGATGGTTTTTGCAACTGCACTTGAAGAAACTTTAAAAGTTCTTGAAAATGTCCATATTGACTGACCTTCATGTCTTAAAGTGATGATGGACTGTCATTTCTCTTTGCTTATTTGAGCTGTTCTTGCCATAATGTGGACTTGGTCTTTTACCAAATATGGCTATCTTCTGTATACCCCCCCCCCCCCTACCTTGTCACAACACAACTGATTGGCTCAAATGCATTAAGAAGGAAAGAAATTCCACAAATTAACTTTTAAGAAGGCACACCTGTTAATTGAAATACATTCCAGGTGACTACCTCATGAAGCTGGTTGAGAGAATGCCAAGAGTGTGCAAAGTTGTCATCAAGGCAAAGGGTGGCTATTTGAAGAATCTCAAATATTACATATATTTTAATTTGTTTAACACTTTTTTGGTTACTACATGATTCCATATGTGTTATTTCATAGTTTTGATGTCTTCACTATTATTCTACAATGTAAAACATTGTAAAAATAAAGAAAAACCCTTGAATGAGTAGGTGTGTCCAAACTTTTGACTGATAGTGTAGTTTATCCAATAGTCGTTTTTTATTTTTACATGAAGTGGGTAAAGTTGGTAATCATTTTACGAGCAGAACGGCACGGTCAGGAAGAGAAGCTTCATTTCCCAAAGTTCCAAGTGGTCAAAGCCTTTCGTTTTTGAGACAGGGATGTCACCAAAGCTATGATGTATTCATTAGGTATGTCGTAGCTAATTTTCAAAGATGCATTATGATGCATTACTAACTGAAAATATTTTTCTACAGAAATTACAATTATGACAATAACCGTGGCCATTTGCATGACAATTAATCGTTACCCAAAATGCCATAATCGTCACAGCGCTACTTTCTATTTTACTGGCTCCAGCCACAAGCCATCATGTATCATGTATTGACTGTACACACATGCATGGCACAGTTTTGTTGCATGCCACCACTGCCACCATTATTCTATATCAGACCTGGGTTCAAATACTATTTGAAATAATTTATACATATCTATAGTTGATTGAGCTTGCCTTTTGGATTTGAATAGTATTTGAACCCATGTCTGTTTTCTATATAGTATAGTTTTGTTGTTTACTGTTGTACGTCATCCTGTGCGTTCGACAGATGTTCCTACAGCGGAAGAGCCTACAACAGGAGCTTTGTGAGTTCTGTCACAAACATCGTTTTGGTGCGGTGGTTGCCATGACAATCTCTTTCAATGAACGCAGCGAGCCCCATCGGCAGCTGGCGGTCTACAGCTCCAGCACCCTCTATAGGGAGGAGGTATGAACTGCACTGTCATGCCCACTTATATTTACCCCTAGACCCCTATGTAGTGAGATTATTTTATATTTATAGGGGTAGTAATATAATAGTAAGGATTTGATAGGGGTAGTTATATAATAGGTAATAGTTCCACATAGTGCCATCTAATTGACTTAAAAGAAATGTACCCATTTTGTGCGGCACATTTCTGTTCATGACCCTAAAAAGTATTTTTATATGAGTTCAGTGTATTGTAAAGAGGTCAAGCCATTTGAATATTGGTGCTGCTTAAAAATACATACAAAAATAGGTCTACTTTGTGTGCCAACCTACCTACCTTGTTAGTTTAATATTGGCCCTCAGAAACTATTCCTTGGTGTGAAAAGAAATAGTATTATTCTGTGATATTAAGCATGTCTGTAAGTGAGATACATCAAAGTATTCAATGCTGCCTGTTGCTATTATTTATTAGCGTGCTTTTCCTCTCGGGCAGGTGCAGGCATGACAATCTGAGAATATTAGTCAATGTTAAAACGGCAACTATGAATTAGCAATACACTTTTAAGTGTGTTTCACATTCTGCTGTAGGTGAGCCAAGCATTAGAAAAGGCCCGGAACCCCTCTCTGAGCTTCTCTCCCATGAGCAGCCCCTTCAACGACATCAAGTCCTATCTCCAAGGCAACGCACTGGCCTCCCGCAAGAAAGTGCTATCTATCCTCAAGGACTTCCTGAAGGAGTGGGACAAGAAGCAAGTGCATTGTGGGGAGGCGGAGGACTTTGAGGAGCTGGACGACCACTTTGACCCCACGGGGTCGCCTGGTGTCGACGGCGACGCCCGCCCCCGCTGCTTCTCGGCCTCCCGGCACCACCGCCGCCGCCTGCTGGGCGCCGAGGACTCTGGGACGGAGGAGGACTTCCAGGTGCCGGCCACTCCCATGAACAGCCTGGTGGAGGGCTGTCCGCTGGATGCCGGCCTGCCCCAGATCAGCGCGGAAGCCATTTTGGAGAAATTCAGCTGCATGGTAGGGGAAGCAGGAGGAAATAAAGATGGCAGCTGGCCAGGTGATCAATAACCTTCTGTTGATGCCTTTTAATCCTTGCGCCCCTGGCTGACTGTTCTCGTGCACCTCAACCCAACCAACAGACTATAACAAGGAGTGTTAAAAGTTCAAACTCAGAAGCATATCAATCAATTGTATGTTTCATAAGGGACATCTCATAGCGGATTATAATGACAATCCAAGGGTGATTGACTGGAAACAGGGTCGTGTTCAGGAGGAACAAAACCGCCCAAAACGGAGTGAAGCAGGGAGATACCATCTGAACTTATCTAATAAGAAATGTTCGTTTTTGTTTTCCGTAGCAAAACGTTTTGCCACGGTGTGCCCAAATGAACACAATCCTGGACTACCGTGGCCATCAAACTGATCACCAAGTTCTTATGGATGCTTTACTCAAGTCAGGACTAACAACACCATTACGAAGGATAGGACATCCTTCTAAAAGACTGGCAACCGGATGAAAAAGGCATGACTTGTACCTTCAAAGACTCCCGACAACAATGAAGGTTGAATGGTGTTTTCTCTCTGTATCCCATCTGAGTACAGATGCCCCATTGGTTAGTGCCATCTCCAAGTGTAGGGGGAGTAGATTGGACATGTGGAGAATACATAATGGACTAATGTAATGAATCTTTGAAGGGCCTATTTCAATGTCACAGGCATTTGAGTGAAGCTTTATTTTGAGGAGAATATTGTACTGGATAATTATTTTATCCATTATGGCAGCATGTTTCAGTAGTCCTGGTCTTGGAAGACCGCTGAGTTTGCTTGTTTTTAGTTCAACTTATCTATGTACAGCTTCAGATGTGAGTTATTGAGCTGATGATTGAGCATGTGATATCTCCTGACGTGTGTGTGCGAGCATGTGTGTGTGTGTGTGGGTTGAGTTCTTGGTTAGTGTGATGTCATGATGACATTATCATCAGGGTTGTTTCAGTCTATAGTTCTCCTCATTGTCGGAATCCATCTGAAAACAAAAGAGGGGAAGAATACACACCTTCCCCACAAAGAGAGAGAGAGAGGTGGAGAGATATATACCAGATGATGGATGCAACTCTGCTGCTCATTCATGCATATGAACTGCCTGCCCAGTCAGAGCTCTAAAATTGCAGGTGTCCTTTTTTATTGCCATGAATAATGTTCTGGAGGCAGCTCTGCAGAGTTGTCACTAGCTGGCACAGCTACAAAGTAATCAAATCAGATTTTAAACCTAACCCTAACCTTAACCCTAATCACACTGCTAACCCTAATGCATAACCCTAAACTTTTTGTTTTCATGAATTTTTACAATATAGACAATTTTGACTTTGCAGCTGGCCCATCTAGCGGAAATTGCATAGTTTTGCCTCAAGGAAAAGACTCATGCCAATAAACGTCAACCTGTGCTAAATATACTCAGCCAGCAATTACCTTTGCTAAACAGGTTGAATGACAACAAGTAATTCACAATGTTGTTTCTTTAACCAAACTGGTTCCCTTTTTCAGTTTCTCATGGCTTAAATCCAAAGATGCCCCCTCAACCCATCCACATGCAGTTCCTTTCAGCATGGGAAGTTTTGTGAATTTTATGCAGGACAATCGGGATTCAACTTCCCTTTTATTCATGTATGCATATGAAAAGTGTTTGCTGTGTGGTTCCTGAATGCGAAACCACATGTATGACAAGATTATAAGAGAAAATGTTAAAATATGCAGTTCTATTAAAATGTTTAAGAGTTTGTGTTGTCATCAGGTTTTATTCAGGCTTCTAACTGATTCTGGGTTATTGATCTGATTCCAAATCATAACCTAAAGCTAACATTTCTACGAGGCACTATTGGAATCTTTAGTGCCTATCACTAACTATCTTGAACCCCACCAGTCAGCTGTGTTTCATTTGTCGTAGGGTGTGCCCTCACCATTTTCCCACCATATGCTGTGTGTGTGTGCGTGCGTGCGCCCATTCCTGGTCATGTCTCAACATGTTATTGTGTTCATATACAGTGCCTTCAGAAAGGATTCACACCCCTTGACTTTTTCTACATTTTGTTGTGTTACAGCCTGAATTTAAAATAGATTAAATTGAGATTTCTTGTCACTGGCCTACACACAATACCCCATAATGTCAAAGTGGAATTTTCCCAATGCCTCGTAAAGAAGGGCACAAATTGGTAGATGGATTTTAAAATAGCAGACATTGAATATCCCTTTGAGCCATGGTGAAGTTATTAATTACACTTCGGATGGTATATCAATACACCCAGACACTACAAAGATACAGGCGTCCTTCCTAACTCCATTGTCGGAGAGGAAGGAAACCGCTCAGGAGTTTCACCATGAGACCAATGATGACTTTAAAACAGTGGTGGCTGCATCATGTTATGGGTATGCTTGTAATCGTTAAGGACTGGTGAGTTTTTCAGGATAAAAAAGAAACGGAATGGAGCTAAGCAAAGGCAAAATCCTAGAGGAAAATCTGGTTCAGTCTGCTTTCCACCAAACACTGGAAGATGAATAACCTAAAACACAAGGCCAAATCTACACTGGAGTTGCTTACCAAGAAGATATTGAATGTTAGATAGTGTTCCGAGTTATAGTTTTGACTTAAATCTAATTGAAACTCTATGGCAAGACCTGAAAATGGTTGTCTAGCAATGATCAACAACCAATTTGACAGAGCTTGAGGAATTTTGAATAATGGGCAAATGTTGCACAATCCAGGTGTGGAAATCTCTTAAAGGCTTACCCAGAAAGACTCACAGCTATAATCACTGCCAAAGGTGCTTCTACAACGTATTGACTCATGGTGTGAATACTTATGTAAATGAGATATTTATGTATTTCATTTTCAATACATTTGCCAAAATGTCTAACAACATGTTTTCACTTTGACGTTATGGGGTATTGTGTGTAGATGGCTGAAAAAACAAATCAATTTAATCAATTTTGAGTTCAGGCTGTAACACAACAAAATGTGGAATAAGTCAAGGGGTATGAATACTTTCTGAAGGCAATGTATCACACATTGCAGATGGAAAGCAAAGATCAAAGCTGTCAGACAGGCTTTGTCAACTCCAAAGGTCAACCACTATGTTTATCAGTATATGAATGCTTGGCCATTTCTCTTGTTTCTGAACATATTTAATATACATAGGCAGTTTGTGGTGACTGAATGAGGAAATGTTGAAGAAGGGTGTGATTAATAGAAAAATGTAACTACTCAAAATGACAAGAGAAATACTTGTCCCGTGTAGCTCAGTTGGTAGAGCATGGCGTTTGCAACGCCAGGGTTGTGGGTTCGATTCCCACGGAGGGGCAGTATGAAAAAAATAATTTATGCACTCACTAACTGTAAGTCGCTCTGGATAAGAGCATCTGCTAAATTACTAAAATGTGAAATGTTATGGTGCAATGCTGAGCCGGCAAATAATGTGTAGATAGCCAAGGAAGTACCAGGTGCCCAAAACATATTTGGGTACAAAATCTCTTCGGTCAATTTTCTATGGACCTCTCAAATCTACAGTAGACCATACATTTTAGATTCAGAATAGGCATTATGATGTTTGTATGTGTTTTATAGTATAAATAACATTGAGACAAATCATCAATCATGTATGTAATCACTATTTTCAGTCCTGACACTTTTGTTTGATTCGCTGTGATGTCATACAGCCCAGTAGCCTACATTGCATGAATTCTGAACAAGCATGCACATGCATGTTTTCACCCTAAACCGGAGCTAGTGCAGTTAATTCCTGTTGCCGTGGTTACAGGGATGGGCTTGCACTGGCAATAAATACACCACACCTTGACTCTCAGGTGTGGCAATTGTGTCAGCGCAATTGAGGCTTCGTCATGAGTTCAGCAAAGCCATAATGTTTACCTCTTTCACTAAAAAGTTACTCATTGTACAGTTACTGTACTTTTACAAAGACATTGAAAAGTTTGTCGGCCTGTGAACCAAATACCATCAACAAGGTAATGTTACACATTTGTTGCTTTGTATTGTATCTGTACACATGCATTCCTGTCTCAAGTTGTGTTTACCACTTAATCACATGAATCTAACCAAGGCAAACTTGGTGATATTGGTGTGATTTAATGTGTTCTTACTGGTGTAAGGGTATTACATTCTACATTCTACAAATTCTACATTTTCATTATAATACAAGCTTTGAAAAAGAAAGTACAAAATGGTGACAGACAGTGGTTGTTGACAGCCTTGCCTTATATACCGTACTAACTTTATTGCTCTCAATACAACTGAACACTGTGCGTTTTCCACTAGAGGCCAGCATAGGAACAAATCCCTCAGTATCCTATAATTTGGCAGGACTGATCAGACATTAAGTTGTTGGTGTTATAGTATTTTTTGTTTTTACTTGTTACCGTATGTCCATGACATTCATCATTTCTTTTCACACTCTTAAATATAAAAAATATGAAGTTACAGCTAAAGTTGCTCCTGAGTTGTAATAGCTGTTTGGACTTTTAATTTCTCTGGGCCAAATGGTTTGCTGTTACTCTGACAACATCAACTGTGTTCACAACTACTATCAGGAAACTTGGCACCGAGAACCTGCACAGTAACAACATGGAGCCAAGAGAGGAGGAGCAAGAAATGGAGAAGGAGGAGAAGGACATTTACATTCCCAGGTCAGAGGTTATGGTCATCAGACTGAATTGTCTTTGTTATATTATCAATATACCAAATATCCAAACAAGTGTTTTTTCACATTGAAACACCTATATGTAATAAAAATTCCATTGAAATGTCATTGTTGACCACTCTAAACATTGTAGGTCACCTCCCAGGAATGCTCATGGCACAGATGCAGTCTCGGGGAACCCCACATTAGCTGCTGATGAGAGACCAGGTAACACTTCAATTCAAAATGGCAATGTTGTAACATCACAGTCACTATTATAAAGCTCCATATAAATGCAAATCATGAAGATTAAATGTCATGGTAGCCCCGCCTAGCAGCCTGGCTCTGACGGGGCCCCGACCCAGGAAGAAGCGCCTGGTGGCCCCCGCCCTAAGTCTGACGCTGGATCACAGTGACTCGGTGGTGTCCGACGACTATGCCACAGCTGCCCTCTCTCCTTCCCCTGATGACGATGACTTGGGGCTGGACATTGACTTGGATGCCATGGAAACGCCTTCGGACAGCGAGTCCCTCCACTTTCCAGTGCAGGACATGGATTTGGAGGGTGAGAACTGGGTGCAGTGGACAGGACATACTAACAGCCTTTATCTTTGGTCCGTTTCTTCACTCTCACAGGTCCAAGATCAGTCCATGAACTTATTGAACCACCATATTTTTCACATGAGATACACAAATAAGCTATTTTGGGGAATACATAATATATAGCTATTTCCTTTATATATGCTTTGCATTAGGTGATCTTAACCCCATAGATATCATCTATTATAGACAGTACACCCTAACCACTATCTGTCTATGCATTTTGTTATCTACAGTACTGTATGGGAAATTGACCATTGAAACATTATTCCCATTCACAGATGACCTGCTTCGTCTGGGAGTGGCATCACGTTTCCATAAGGCCCGTGGGTCAGTACCAGAGCAGATGGGTGTGGGTTCTCTTGATCAAGACCAGGTAGATAGCCAGGGCACTAGGTGGCGCCGGTTCCGCACGGGAGACCCGCTTCAGGAGAGTCTGGTCAACATGAGTGTATTGGAGCCTTACCTTCGAGTCTTGTCACATGGGGGTGAGTCCACAATCCCAGCACTCACTTGCCTATCTGACATAATGCAAGAATGTGAGCTTGTCTCAGGCTCATGGAATTCGGATAATGTGACCGTTTGATGTGAGATCAACTTGGATGACACAAAGAGCATCTTCACTTATTTTTTGCATATTCATTTTCCCCTCATCCAAATGTTGTTTTCCTTCCAGGTTACTATGGAGATGGGTCTAATGACATCATTGTGTTCTCGTCCTGCTATCTCCCTGAAAACACCATGGAGAACTACCAGCATGTCATGGACAACCTGTTCAGGTGTGAGAGCTAATTGATGAGAAGCCACAGTCTTAGTAAAACACTATCCGAAATGGCTACTCTTCAGGTCGACATTCCTAACCACAGCACCACTAAACATTGCAGGTACGTTGTGGGAACGTTGGACCTGATGGTGGCGGAGAACTACGTCATTGTGTACCTGTGTGCCATGGCCCAGCGCAACAAGCTCCCCACCATTGGCTGGCTCAGAGAGTGTTACACTACCATTGACAGAAGGTTAGTTCTGATTACTCAAATAGGCTTGGTTTGCGGTTCTATTTCATAAAACTATATGCCACAGTGAGTAACAAAACAGTACAAAAGTATTTTAACTCATCAGTCTCTCATGTCAGTGGAGTCTCCAAGTCGTAGGCCACGTTCCAGGCCGAATACATTGCAGTCATGAACTGCGCAGTCAGAGTGCTATATTATATGATGTGGTTAGTGGATATGTTCAACACCTATCCAGGCATTGTGAGATCTGGCAACTGCAATGTAGTTGGCTGGAATGCGGTCAAAGTCAAATCTCAAGTTATTTTATTTTATGCCAAGTAATTAAGTCTCAAGTAATCAAATCGTTGACATTTGTCTCAGTTGGTGAAAAATATGTGTCTCAGTGTCGAAAATCTACCAAACTGGCTATCTCTCAAGACTTTGAAGAAGAGCAGGATGTTTTCCGTGTCGACTGCACAGATGAAAACCAGATGACAATTGTCAGTTTCGTCTTTTTGGCCTGCTGTACTGATCTTCAGAAACTCGTCATGTATGAAGTACTTTGCCCTGGTGACTCGAGGGTCCTCCCCTGGTACTGCTGTTGTATATTCAGGCATAGTGTAGTGTGCAAACTCTGGGAAATACTCGTCCATTTTTGATTTTCCCGCCAAAACCTTCTCTGCTAGAAGGTCCTGTTTGTTCAGTAAGACCCAGACAGGAAGGGTCCTTAGCCACCTGTTGTTCCAGATGATCTTGAAGTGGTTTAGTGCCTCCTGCAGCTGGTTGGTCTGGCTGTCTTCATGCTTCACCATGTCATAGCTGCTGCTGTCCACCACAAAAATAACATCCCACACATCAGCAAAACACTGCATCCACTTTCCGCTTTCGTACTTCTGACCTCTAACATTAGATAAATGAAAATTGATACCGTCCACCACGAAAAATGTCTCAGACGTCCCTGAAGCCTTTTTACTGTTGTTTTGTATAAAATGCATTTTCTCCTCTGCAGTAAGTTCCACATGTAAATATCGCATCTGATTTACTATCGTGCTTTTCCCAGATTCAGCAGCTCCTAACATTAGTAACTGGCGCTGGCAAGTTATTTGGTTATTATGCTTGTCTTCTTGTAGCTGTTTATCAATCCTTTTGTTTGATTCTTTAGGTGCCTTCTCAATACGTTGGTCTTTACTGCACAGACAACCCATATTAACTAAATAATACTAGATTCCTAGGCTTGCCAAAGAAAAAAACCAGAAATACAGAAAAATATATAGATATAATAAGTCTACTTCAGTCTGAGAAATTAAGAAAATGACAGTGTTACAACAGACCCCTTCCTCCCCTAAAATGTCACTCTGGGTCTGACACAGAAAGCATCCTCTGCCCCTCTCAGACGGTTGATTCCTATAACGTTTTCACTGTGAATCCGCAATGAAGTCATCAAGTGTAATGCAAATGTAAATGTTCAGCAATAAGCCTAAATGTAGGCGATGAGTTTTCGAATCGAGATTCCCACGATGTCTTACTGTGGAGCCACACTGAACTTTAGCGGTATTTTCTAGAACCGATTGATTTTCACGAGTAGACCAGAATTCTGACATTCAAAACATTGCAGTTCCGTCAAAGCGCAGCCATGGCTATATGCACTTCCCTTCACCACAGCGATAGTAAAGCAGGTGGAAGAAATATAATTAAAAAGTAAACTTCTGAAACAAATATTTCCACAATTCCACTAAAATGGGGGCATGCGATCATTACATGAAGCTCCTTCCTGATTCGAATGTCTTGCTGTAGCACCATTGCGCAAATTGTTGATTTATATCCTTTATTGCCCAACCTTGTAATTTCCCCTACTCTTGTGAAATATAATTCCGCTTGTGGTAACGTGTTGTTTGTGTTAGGAGTTTGTGTAGAAGCAGAATTATTGTATTGAATATGAAGAGACCCAGGGTGTGGTCCTTAATTAAAGTCTAACTTGCTCTGATATAATCTGGCTGTATGCAAATGAGGGCAAACACTCCACCCAAAACCTGTTGGTTTGTAGTATTCTATGGTCCATCATTATATAACATATTTCAATTTATTCAGCTGGGCAATTTGTTGTATTCATGATATAGTAGTGTTCCTACTCAAAGTCAAGTCAGCCTAGTAGTTAATTAGTCTTGCTAACACCAAACTCTTGAAGTCCTCCTGACTTCAGTCGGGAATGGCTCTTTGATGTTGTTGGCACAATGTGTTGATAATGAAGGGGGCTGTGCTTTTACTGGTTGGCTGTCCTCTGTGTCTTTCTCACTCAAACACCCACATACAGCCCCCTTCCAGTACAAAGTTTGGATTTTCAAATCTAAACAAGGAGAGGTCCCTGATCCACCATCCACCACCGCTGCGCTCTCGTGTAGTAAAACAGAATAGAAGCTACCAAGACGAGTCTCAAGCCATCGAATTTGTGACTCGTCCTGATCTAACTCAAGTCTGCACCTCATTAGGTAATTACTATGTAATTACTATTTAACTATTTTATCACAAAGCAATACCAGTAGGCTACTTTTATACCAGTACCAGTACTTTTAATAAAAAAAACGACTTAAAACAGCAGACGGTAAAATAAAGCATAAACCTGCAGTTAAACCTTCAGTAAATATTCCCAAGTAATGCCATGTATACTTTGTATATGTATACAAATTGTGTATGAGAGTTTGAAAGTGCAGTGTAGCAACCATATGTACTTATACAGTATAGGAAGCAACCCACAGCAAGTAGCTGGCAATAATAGTGTCACATTGGGCCTTAGCATCCAACAAGTTAACAAGAGCCTGCTTTGGTACTCCTCCTTCTTCAGCCAGAGGATGGCATCAAAACCAAAGTGTAATTATGAGTTTCCTCCTGACATCCCGCACAGCCAACCTACAGTTCTCAGTCTAGGAGGAAGTAGATTTCATTAATTAGGCACCAAAAGGAAGAAAATGGACTGAAACAATAAAATGGACTGTCCAATATAAAACACTCACATATTCGTTTTCCTGTTGGAAAACGTTTGAAAACGTTTTACATTGAGTGCCCTAATGGACACGACCTTGTCATGAAAGAGTGTTATTTTTTTCAGGATGGTTACAACAGTGTCCAAATGATTGTGCACAGAATGGCCACTAACATAATCCCTCATATTTCCAGAAAGCTTTGATGCTGTAAACCTCGACCTGGGTCTCCTTAATCCTAATAATGTAACTAAATGTTTGGATCCAGTAAAGTATCAATTGAACTGCAGGAGGAAAAAAGCTGCTAAGACCATTACACTGACCTTGTATGTTGTTGAAATGAATGTCTCAACTTGATTTCCCTTTAAATTATTTATATTATTATATTTATGTATTATATTTATATTATTATATCCCATGTCCCTTTATATTATTTGAATATACTTAGAGTCACATATCAAATATGTGTAAAGAATTATCCAAGAAAAACCCTGCAGGGATTTCTAGAGGATGCCTATAGTTCAGACACACATTTTTTTGTGATATGGTTTTGGACCTTTTCTTTGAACATTTACATTTACATTTCAGTCATTTACCAGATGCCCTTATCCAGAGGGACTAACAGTTACTGCATTCATCTTAAGATAGCTAGGTGGGAGAACAACATATCAGGGGGAAGCTGGTTCCACCATTAGGGTGCCAGGACAGAGAAGAGCTTGGACTGGGCTGAGCAGGTGCTGCCCTCCCATAGGGGTGGGAGGGCCAAAAGACCAAAGGTGGCAGAACGGAGAACTCAGGTTGGGGTGTAGGGTTTGAGCATAGCCTGAAGGTAGGGAGAGGCAGTTCCTCTTGCTGCTCCATAGGCAAGTACCATGGTCTTGTAGTGGATGCGGCCTTCGAATGGAAGCCAGTGGAATGTGTGGAGGAGCGGGGTGACATGGGAGAATTTGGGAAGGTTGAACACTAGGCAGGCTGCAGCGTTCTGGAGAAGTTGCAGGGCACAAGCCAGGTCCAGACGGGAGATGACAAGTGCCTGGATTAGGACCTGCGCCGCTTCCTGTGTGAGGTAGTGTCGTACTCTACGGATGTTGTAGAGCATGAACCTGCAGGAGCGAGTCACTGCTTTGATGTTTGCAGAGAACGACAGGGTGTTGTCCAGGGTCACGCCAAGGTTCTTTGCACTCTGGGAGGGTGACACGGTGGAGTTGTCAACCATGATGGAGAGGTCTTGGAGCGGGCAGGCCTTCCCCTGGAGGAAGAGCAGCTCCACCTTGTTGAGGTTGAGCTTGAGGTGGTAGGCCGACATCCAAGCTGAGATATCTGCCAGCGACGGTACAGCTGCTGACACGACCGCCGCTTAAAGCTGCTGCTGAAAAAACAGGGGACACTGAAGTACTAACATCATAGTTTTTTACATAGCATGCCAAGTTCACAGTGTTTAAGAGGCAGTTTCCCAGACAAGATTAAGTGTTTGTGGATGAAAAAGCACTTTCAATAGTTCTACATTGAGCATGCTTTTCAGTCCAGGAGTAGGGCTCACCTGTGTCTGGAAAACCGCCATTACAGACATGTTTCTTTGTGATGTTTTCTCCACCAATAGAGCTAGTGTTTTGACACCTGACCATGTCTAGCCAACTTCCCCTCTCACTTCCTGTTGTCTGACTTGGCCCATGTAAGTGAGAGAGGTAGAACCCTTATTTAGCAGTTTGCGCCTGTCTGGGGAGTCACACAGACTGGGCCCCAAAGAACCTCTGGAGGCACTAAAGTAACCTTTGGTAGAGATACGTGTCTTATGGAGGGGTTTAAACTGTCAATCATGGTGATGTGAGAGGTGTGTGAGAGAGGTAGTGTAAATCTACAGTAGATATACTGACAGATTGAACAAACAACTGTTACCTTTACTCTTACACTTGATTCTGTTTCTCTCGTAGGTTGAGGAAGAATCTGAAAGGTCTATACATCGTCCACCCGACCTGGTACATCAAGGCCCTGATCACCATCATCAAGCCCTTCATCAGGTTAGGGCCACCATCCCCTGAGACACCAAGTCCAGTCTGTCAGGGTTGCTGCTGTTGTTGTTGTTGTTGAGTCAATGGGCCCTGTTACTCCATGAAGCAAAAGGGAGAACTATAGAACAATGGCCATAGCACTGTTAGAGCAGCTACCCTGATCTTGTAGCTGTAAGAGTACAAATCTTAATTGTATATTATGATGCTGTGCACTACTGTATCTTTATTTTTTACATGTTGGCTCTGTGTCGTCACATAAAACTAATGGCTTCCGATCCCGTCATCCTCACAGCTCCAAATTCAGTCGCAAGCTTCAGTTTATCGACAGCCTTTGGGAGCTGTCCCAGCACATCCCTGTTGAGCTTGTGCAGATCCCCGACTGCGTCAGACAGTGAGTGACACCATCATACTCTCTCATGCCACGTTCAAAACAACTGGGAACTTGGAAATCTCCGACATCCGACTTCAGTGCATTCAAGACAACTGGGAACTTGTAAAAAAAATGAGCTCCGACTGGGAAATATATTTTTGAACAGTCATCCAACTCAGAATTCCAAGTCGGGAACTCAGGTCTCTTTCTAGAGCTCCTAGTTTCCGACCTTAAGATCACTGACGTCATGATTTGACCTAGTTTTTTTTCAGAGTTCCCAGTTGTCTTGAAAGCACCATCACACATTCACAATAAGCTACATGAATGAACCCATAAATGGGAAAGCCCATCCATCACCTCATATGTGTATTATGTGACTAATATCTGGTTATTCTTAATCACTCTTTGGCTACCATTGCGCAAATCAAAGTATTCATTTCAAAGTACTTTTTTGCATAACAGAAAGAAAACAGTGAGACCTTCTATTATGATGGTTCATGAAAATGTATTGGCTGTGTTTATGTATTTATTGTTTTTCAGTCCAGTTCAATCTATTTCCATTCACACAGGTTTGACGAGAATATGAACAGCTGACACGCTCAAAATGTTGATCTGGACCACAGTGTAAGGTACATGAAGCCAAAACAGTGGACTACAAAGGCTCAAATCTGGCAACCAATGACTTGACACTGAGGATGAACCTGGCTGCCCAATCTAACATAAGTTGTCCTATGAGACAACTTTAACCAAAGTATCTGTTGAAGGACCACAAGTAGATACAGTGAGCTCCAAAAGTATTGGGACTGTAACCACGTTTCCATCCACAGTTTTTATGCGAGTAAAGTCATACCATATTTTAAAAAATGACAGTTGATGGAAACAGGAAGTTTCGGTACAATTTTATAAATGCCGACAGATAATTTGTTCGTTCGACCTGGTGGGATATTTTTGTGTTGGTTAAATTAATTATGTGAGAAATGGCGGTGGAAACGCCTTCATTCACAAATATTGATATAATAACCATCATATCGAAGTAAATTTGGAGTCACACGATGATATGGGGTGTGGGCCTCCCACTTCAACTCGGGAAACCATACAGTTTATTAGGCTACAGATGAAGTGATGATGAACTCCACAGGGTGGTGAAAGTGCACTGTGATCTTGATTCTCCTTTCCAATAAATATCGAGGGTCTTATTCTGGTAACATGATGATCAGTGCTTGACTGCCATTTTTGACAAATAAAAATATTCTCACTCTTATCCATAATAATCTCATCATGTAGATTTAAAACCAATTTATGCTGGCACGGCAAATGCGATTCTTACAGAGGATGTGAAGCAATTGCAGAGCCTCTGAAGGCTTGTGGAGGCCAAATCGAGCTCTGTACCGCATCGCTGTGCGCCTCCCAACATTTGTGACAGTGCAGAGGGCTCCGTATAGCTCCGTATTGACATGATTGGCTGACGGTAGATGGGGGCGGGAGGTCCTGTATCAACACAATAATATTATTTAAAAACATATACACTGAGTATACAAAACATTCCATGACATAGACTGACCAGGTGAACCCAATTGAAAGCTATGATCCCTTATTGATGTCACTTGTTAAATCCACTTCATTCCGTGTAGATGAAGGGGAGGAGACAGGTTAAAGAAGGATTTTTAACACTTGAGACATGGATTGTGTATGTGTGCCATTCAGAGGGTGAATAGGCAAGATACAATATTTTAGTGCCTTTGAACGGGGTATGGTAGTAGGTGCCAAGCGTACTGGTTTGTGTCAAGAACTGCAACGCATCTTGGTTTTTCACACTCAACAGTTTCCCGTGTGTATCAACAACGGTCCACCACCCAAAGCAAATCTAGGCAACTTGACACAACTGTGGGAAGCATTGGAGTCAACATGGGCCAGCATCACTGTGGAATGCTTTCGACACCTTGTAAAGTCCATGTCCCGACGAATTGAGGCTGTTCTAAGGGCAAAAAGGGGGGTGAAACTCAATATTAGGAAGGTGTTCCTAATGTTTGGCATGCTCAGTGTACATTGTTAAGTGTGTTCAGGTGTGTTGGCTGCGCCCACTAATTGGCCACACCTGATCTTAATGAGTGCTCGTTTCCTTTGAAATGGACCACCATCCTGGTGGTGCAGTGGAGTAATTCCATGCATACGGAACATCACAGGTTTGAATCTCACTGATGCCGTGCCACAATAAAAAAAGAAATGTGTTTGCATGGTTAATTAAGCAAATTAATATCCATGTGTCCAATCTGTTCTTGGAGTTTGTTAATGTAAGCTAGCAGTGTTATTAAGTCTTATTGAAACATGTTCTCAGAATGTTATTTAATTACTTTCAAATAACCTATAATTTCTGTTCTCAGAACGTTATTAAAACCTCCCAGGAAAACTTTCACAGAACCATAGTAAAACATCCTCAGAACCTCCCTGCAACCTCCCAGAACAGTCGAAATGTTCACTTCCATTCTCAGAACCAGTTTTACTGGTCAGGAAATGTATGGATTCGTTCCCAGAACCAATGAGAAACCAAAGACTTGCGTTCCCACAACTTCCAAGGAACCAAGTGTGCTAGCTGGGAAGCAACCTGTCTTAAATTAATCATCATTGACCATTATTGCTTAAATTACACTGAACAAAAATATAAACGCAACATGCAACAATTTCAAAGATTTTACTGAGTTACAGTTCATATAAGGAAAAATAAGGAAAATTAATTAATTAGGCCCTAATCTATGGATTTCACATGACTGGGAATACCGATATGCATCTGTTGGTCACAGACACCTTAAAAAAAAGGTAGGATAAGAAAACCAGTCAGTATCTGGTGTGACCACCATTTGCCTCATGCGGCACGACATCTCCTTCGCATAGAGTTGATCAGGCTGTTGATTGTGGGCTGTGGAATGTTGACCCAATCCTCTTCAATGGCTGTGCGAAGTTGCTGGATATTGGCGGGAACTGGAACACGCTGTCATAAACGTTGATGTCTGGTGAGTTTGCAGGCCATGGAAGAACTGGGACATTTTCAGCTTCCAGGAATTGTGTAGAGATCCCTGCAACATGGAGCCGTGCATTATCATGCTGAAATATGAGGTGATGGCGACGGATGAATGGCACGACAATGGGCCTCAGGATCTCGTCACGGTATCTCTGTGCATTCCAATAGCCAAATTGCAATTCTGTTCATTGTCCGTAGCTTATGCCTGCCCATACCATAACCCCACCACCACCATGGGGCACTCTGTTCACAACGTTGACATCAGCAAACCGCTCGCCCACACGACGCCATACACGCTGTCTGCCACCAGTTGAAACCGGGATTCATCCGTGAAGAGCACACTTCTCCAGCGTGCCAGTGGCCATCAAAGGTGAGCATTTGCCCCCTGAAGTCAGTTACGACGCCGAACTGTAGTCAGGTCAATACCCTGGTGAGGATGACGAGCACGCAGATGAGCTTCCCTGAGACGGTTACTGACAGTTTGTGCAGAAATGATTTGGTTGTGCAAACCCACAGTTTCATCAACTGTCCGGGTGGCTGGTCTTAGAAGATCACGCAGGTGAAGAAGCCAGATGTGGAGGTCCTGGGCTGGCATGGTTACACATGGTCTGCTGTTGTGAGGCCGGTTGGACGGCTTATGGTAGAGAAATTAACATAAAATTATCTGGCAACAGCTCTCGTGGACATTCCTGCAGTCAGCATGCCAATTGCACTCTCCCTCAAAACATGATACATCTGTGGCATTGTGTTGTGTGACAAAACTGCACATTTTAGAGTGGCCTTTTATTGTCCACAGCACAAGGTGCACTTGTGTAATGATCATGCTGTTTAATCAGCTTCTTGATATGCCACACCTGTCAGATGGATGGATTATCTTGGCAAAGGAGAAATGCTTACTAACAGGGATGTAAACAAATTTGTGCACAGAATTTGAGACAAGATTTTTGTGCATATGGAACATTTCTGGGATATTTTATTTCAGCTCATGAAACATGGGACCAACACTTTACATGTTGCGTTTATATTTTTGTTCAGTGTAGTTGACTGACTTTATGATGGAAGCATCAGCTTCATTTTTGTCCTAATAACTTAACTTTCTCAAATGTTTGTCTACCAACAGAAAACAATATGCTTGTAAATATCTCAGCAAATCCATTGGAAATACATCTACGGCACTTAGATTATACTTTCTCAAAACTTTAAATTCCAAGTTTACCAAATTGGATTCGGCCAATGTCTGCTGTATATTCCTATAAATAGGAAACTAGTCCATGTGATAGACACGTTTATGAATAAACCCCACTGTCTTGTGCTCAATTTAATTATCTCGAACCAGCACTCAATAGAACCCCTTATACACTGTGACTTGTTTTCCAGTACAGGAGGGAATGTGTTGTTTTTAGGAGCTCTGTTGGGTACAGAGGGAGGGTGTTTGGCCTCTACCCGCTTCCTCCCCTTCCACACAGCACTTAATAAAGGAAACAGAGGGAGGGATAGAGGGCGGGCGGGATGGATGGAGAAAGAGGGAGGGTGTGGGGGATTTGGCCCAGAGCGCAGAAGGTGAGATTGGCTGTGCGGACCCACCGGATGCACAGGAAAAGGACCCTTACAGGGAGAGGAAGTGAGGTAGCTGTGGGAAAACTCAATAAACAGGAACAGAGAACAGTGTATGAAGTGTGAGTCTGGGGCCAGGCTGATGTTTACGGTGTCGAGTACGAAAAGTGACAGAGAACTGCTGTTTGTTAGGGAAATCAGGCACGGTAGATCCCATCTACACTGTATGAAAAACAAGTCCAAAGTTTGAGTCATTCAGTCTTTAAAATAGGTGTTTTGAATCTAGAGAGAATTTACTGATGTTTGCCACTTTCTTTACTGTGCATGCATCAATATTTGTTTTCAAGCCCTTGATTAGAAAAACATGGAATACTGTTCTGGGTTGTATACAGAGTAGATGGTTAGTTTGAGATTGTATCTCATTATTGGCTTGCGTTTTCAATGTCCGTATGTGGTATTAAACACATTTGCAAACACACTTCTATATGATAAATGTCTGTGCATGTGTCAAACGAATGCACACAAATTTTGGCTCCTTTAATCCAGTGGTTCTCATCTGGTTTTGCCTCGGGAGCCACATTTAACCAGATTGTCTCAGTCACGACCCAATATTCGCATCACGAAAAACAATCGGCAAAATACAATCTATTTTTGTATATTTGAAAACTATTTTTAATGCTATATTGATAGTAAATGTAGCAATTATATGACAAGGGAACAACATTCCCACCTCTTTCATTGACAATAATAACATTTTACATTTACATTACATTTTAGTCATTTAGCAGACGCTCTTATCCAGAGCGACTTACAGTTAGTGAATACATATATTTTTATTTTATTTATTTTTTTATACTGGCCCCCCGTGGGAATCGAACCCACAACCCTGGCGTTGCAAACGCCATGCTCTATCAACTGAGCTACATCCCTGCCGGCCAGTCCCTCCCCTACCCTGGACGACGCTGGGCCAATTGTGCGCCGCCCATGAGTATCCCGGTCGCGGCCGGCTGCGACAGAGCCTGAGATTCAAACCAGGATCTCTAGTGGCACAGTTAGCACTGCGATGCAGTGCCTTAGACCACTGCGCCACTCAGGAGTTTTACCCATATTGTTGATGAAGAAAGTTAAACTCACTGGTTTGAGACCACAAAATCTATCAAAATAGTGCTGCTAATATCTTTATATTGAAAATACTTTGAAGAATAATGGTTCAGATTCAATTCTAAAAAAATAAGTTCATTATAATTTCTACACATGTTCTACCTGGTTTAAGTCGTTTAAATTCAGACTGGAATATTTTCCATTGTAAAAAACAAAAACAATTATTACTATTTTTAAAACAGTTGGAGACATTACAGCATGTCCATTACTTGGGCTGTAAAACAGGACCTGCAGTACAGCAAGTGCAGCAGTGGCTCAGTAGTCTGATAACTACCATCAGTCATTGTGTCTGCGGATTGTGTAAGATTCATTACAGAACCACCACTACTAGTCGTTATTTGGAGGCCCGATATAAACAGCCCATGTTATATATTAACCAACCGGCCCAACTTCTCATGCTGAAATGCAATGAAAAGGAGCTCTTATCTTGTTCCAGGCCCGATCTGATCTGCCGGCGGCCTTTAGTGTAATCAAGAAGCACAATGGGCCATAGATTTCCTTCATTCTTGCGATGGGCTTTTGCTGGGCTCTGCCAAGGACACGTGTGTGTGTGTGTGTGTGTGTGTACAGTGGCGTGCATGCAGCCAAGGCCCGAGACTGTTGGCTATGCCCAATGTTTTATATAGGAACAGAGTCCATTGTTAAAGAGGAAGTAGAGTGTTGTTGAAGGTTTAATATCCTCTAAAAAAAAACATTGAAGAGTGACGGGCGAGAGAAGCTGAAAACCTTATGGTGAGGACAGGAGAGAAATCACTGGGCAAAACAAAAAACATTATTATAGGGTAGGTCCCGTGTGGCTCAGTTGGCGCTTGTAAAGCCAGGGTTGTAGGTTTGATTCCCATAGAGTATGGAGAAGAAAAAAAAGTATGAAAATGTGGTCACTGTAAGTCTGCTAAATGTAAATATAATGTACAATTGCTTAGGTGCAAAAGAGATTCCGATATAATGGGCAAATAAATATGAAATTCTGGGGAAAGTATCACACTGAGCAGTTGAACATGTGGTGACGTGTATGTGGTCTACTTTTTACATTTAGTCTCCGATGGTTCAGTTGAAAGTTTAGAATGCTGTCAACCTTCAAAAACTTTTAACGAACATTTCTAAACCTATATAGTCTGTCTTTATTGGACAAACTGGAAATAGTAAGTGATGATACTTCATGGTTCCCACACTAATTTACTTTCAAGTGAAATATATTTCTAGTCTGTTGAGATAAATTACAAATAGCTAACTACAGCCAGCCAGCAGTTTGTTTATGGAGTCATCCTTGCCCTGTGTCAAGTTTACACTACCGTCATTGCAACGACAATAGCTTCAGTCTTTTCCCACATGTTGTTTGCACCAAACTACACCTACCACATCTTCAGTTTTTCCATGGGCACTTTCCCCCTCCCCAGTGAAGTAGGTAATGAATGTGTTATCCTGGACTCTGCCCGATGGTTAGACTCTGGGCTCCTCACAGATTAAAATCATTATTATAGGTTGTTGAGATTACTGCGGTCTCAGACAGCTGCTTGTAATAAAACACAAGATGTTGGAGGATGAGATGTGCGGAGCCTCTCATAATAGTAAAAGTCTCTTCCTGCAACGTTGCACAGTGAGATTTGCTCTGGCCGTTGGAAACATTGGAACTGAAATTTGAGTCTAGTTCATCACAGCAAATGTAAAAGAGGTTGATATCAAAAGTGATTTGTTCTGATTACTAATTAAACACTTTCAATGTTTGGTTTTCCTAAACTCAGAAAGTATTGTCTACTTTTATCACCAAACTCTTAAACTGGGTATAATTTGTCTGTACATTATTCCCTAAATCAGGGGTTCCCAAACTTTTTCACTCAGGGGCCCCCCATATTTCTTTTGCCGTTTTAAAAATAATTTTCTTGCAATTCTATACATTTTGCCATGTCTAATGTGTATTCATGTGATATTTGAGTGACAAAAATTACATCAATGTCTATGGACAAAAAAATAAAATGTTAGCTGACATGGGCTAGTTTATCTGGACATTTCTGACAAGCTTTCTAAGGTATGCAATGACTAACATGACAAGAGGAACTGATTATGCGCTACCCAATTTCAAAATTGCACCTTGTGCATTCTACCATTACAACTTTCAAGAGAAATGCATAGCCGGATTGAGTTCCTTAAAAAAAGTTAAAAAAGAACACATTTTTATGGGGGACCCTCCCCCCTCGGGGGAGCACCCCACAGTTTGGGAACCACTGCCATAAATATCAACCTCTGGAGGTTGTGCCCCTTCAAATTCAATGGCACTTTCAAGTAAACAAACACCAGAAACACACAGGGATACATAAAATATAGACTGTATTTCAGGAGGGAAAAAGCCCAGAAGCAGAGAAAACACTCTTACAGGTTTGCGGCAGTTGAAATACTTACTCTACTACTACACATCTGTACACCAACGTCCGCATAGGAGGACTGTGCAACACGTGTGCAATTAAAAGGAAGCAAAGAGGGAGACCCAGGAAAACAATGCAACATCTCAGAGAGACTGAAAAAGAAAGCGAGTACATTGCATCCTGGAATCTCTTCAGTCAGAGATAAGAAATCTTAAAACATATTAATCAAAACTTAAACAAAGAACTTAAAAATCCAGCTCCACAGCTGACAAAAATATAAGAGGGCAGTCCTAAAACAAATAATTAAAATAATTTCTATGAAAACTCACTCATATGGCAAGCGTTTGCCTGAACTGTAGTAGGCATGCATCTGAATTTCATATTGAATACAATGACAACAGCGGGTCCATTTAGCTGTAGAGGCAAAATAACTTGTGCTATGATAAATAACAAAACAAAAAAATCTGCCATTACTTTCTCTTTGCCGTTTCTTCTAACCTGAACTGTAGATCGTCATTGAAACAGAAAGCCCATAAGGTCACCTTTCAGAATAGCAAAAAGGCGAATGATCATGTCTCAGCTTAGACTGACAGGGGCCAATTCTAAGACCAACACTGTGCAACAGGAGAACCAAAGCCAAGTTGCCATAGTTTTTGATACATTTGAGGTGTTGGTGACATAACCCTGCTGAACTAACAGTCCAACTTGGTGAGTTTTTAGATAAAGCAATTAGATCAAGATTAATTACTGCATCTTACATTCAGCTTGCAAATGCTTACAAGTGAATTGCGCAACAAGACTACTACCCCATTAAAACGTTTAAAACCCCCAGAAGGGAGTCTATGGGACACTACAGAAGGTAATGAAAAAAAAAACATATATATATATATATATATATATATATTTTTTTTTTGTCACATACACCAGATAGGTGCAGTGAAGTGTTGCTTTACATGGTCCACCATAGTAGTAAAGTGCCCCTGGAGAAAATTAGGGTTAAGTGCCTTGCTCAACGGCACAGCGATAGATTTTTCACCTTGTCTGCTCGGGTATTCAAACCAGCGACCTTTCGGTTACTGGGGCGGCAGGTAGCTTAGTGGTTAAGAGCGTAGTGCCAGTAACCGAAAGGTCGCTGGTTCTAATCCCCGAGCCGACTAGGTGAAAAATCTGTCGATGTGCCCTTGAGCAAGGCACTTAACCCTAATTGCTCCTGTAAGTCGCTCTGGATAAGAGCGTCTGCTAAATAACTAAAAATGTAAATGTAAATACTGCCCCAACGCTCTAACTGCCGCTACGCTACCTGCCAGTGCTATCCAGTGTTCAGATTTACTGGTGTTAAAGCATGCATGGTAAAAAAAAAAAGCACCCAATATAAAAGGTATAACTTTGGCAATAACACTTAAGGTAGAAGTATATACGAAGGGGTGTCTATGAAAAACTTGACGTGTGGTTGTAAGAGACTGAGTGACTAATGGTGAAATGTGTGTGAGTAAGACTGTGGAAAACTTCTAAGAATCATCCATGTGAAACAGGCAAAGTGCCAAAACATTAGCAAACTAGGCCTACAAGTGACCACTCCCACCCCTGGATGTCTACAATGCTGCTAGGATTGGATCTCACAGTACTCCAGACAAGTAGCGGGTGGAGCCAAGGGTGATGCCACATCCTGCTTGTCAATTGAGCAACTTTGCGTCCAAAACCTAAATAACAATTTGACCACTGCACTTTAGCAATACATATGAAAAATGCCTGCTTGTCATGGCACTATAGAAAACAGATGGGCTCAATTTCCACCATTCACTACTTATAAGGCATTATAATCATTACAGACAACACTTTTAAAAGGGCACAAATGCACACCACTTCAAGTCAAGAATAAAGAAAACATGTTTGTCTGAGTTGTTGCAAGAGCAGTATCACACTTGTGAGATGGTCTTGTTCGAGAAATATGAAATGTTCGGACAATCCCTTGCTTGAGACCGAGGCAAATGGGAAAATCCGTATCCACCAGCAGTCTGAAGTGTAAAAAAAGACCTCCTATGTTCTATCAAAGCAACCTAAAAGCCCCCACACAATCCTGTCCAGTCCCCAGTGCTGAGTGAGAATCCAGGGTACTTTCCCACTTCAAGGCAAGAGTCATGTTCCATTTGAAACTGGATGATGGGGGCTAAAAGGGATTCTGGGAAATTGAGTCATCTTTTTTATTGTGCCATTTGCTGTGGTTGTTGTGGGCCTAAGTGCAATATGCAGAGTTGGTCCATGCAGGTTGGCTTGAGGCTGGGTCCGAGGACGGGGGAAATGAGGAGCTCACATCGAGTCTCTGGATTGGTCCATATGTCTGAAACCACAACAAAACGTCATTGGAGAGCAGTGTAAAAGTAAAACCTTGATGAAGAATAATATCTTCAGATACAAAATAAAAAATCTTAAATACAGAGTATGCAGTTAAGTGTTTGAAAAAAAAGTTTTCCAAGAACTTAGGCTAGTAGTTCATCGTCATCATTTGAAAGTAGAAAAGATGGGGAGAGCTATCCTTTAATATCCTACTGCTTGACAAACAAATCCCCAGTATAAAATAAACTAATTAAGATGAACACTTTCAGCTGCACTTTCCCCCAGAGTGTGATACTTTCCCCAGAATTTCATAATTCATATTTATTTAACCCCTAAAACCGTATGATCCAAAGAGTGAGTGTATGTGTACATAAGTGTGTGTACTGGATTATATAGAGCAGGGCTGCCCAACCCTCTTCCTGGAGGTCTACTGTCCTGTAGGTTTTCAGTCCAACCCTAATTTAGCGTATCTGATTCAGCTAGTTAAGGTCTTGTTGTGCAGCTAATAAGTAGAATCAGGTGTGTTAAATTAGGGTTGGACTGAAAACCCACAGGACGGTAGATCTCCAGGAAGATGGTTGGGCAGCCCTGATATCGAGTGTACTTACTGGCTATAAGAGGCTGCTTCTGCCATTGGTGCTGGGTCCTTTGGACCTCATCTGTTCCTGGACTGACCCTGACTGCAGAGGGGACAAGAACAAAATGTCAGTCACACAAACATCACTCCCTGGTAGAATAATGTAAAAATACAGTTGAGCATCAGCCAGCAAGAACAGAGGACATTGACAATCTGACCTGTTTTCTGGTATTATGTAACAGTCAGTTCTGTCACAAGTGTTAGTAAAGAGTACCTGTTAATTCACTCCACCTGCAGCTGGATTATACAACAAAAACTGTGCTAAGTAAGTGCCCTTTGCTCACATATTGGTGTGATATGTTGATATTTGATATGCCGAATGGGAACACAATGTAGCCCCACAATCCCTAGTGGAAGTAAATAGTTGATGGATAAACTAGATGTGGTTATGTGGAAATGCAAACTAACTTTGCAAGATTAGAACACTGTGCATGAAAACTCAAAACAAACCTGTAGTCGGAATACTGACGGCGCAGAAGGTGAGGCAGTGTCAAGATTACACAGACAGACGTTTTGTAATGGTGTTATGTAATAATTCTGCTTAAACAAAAAGGCAGCAGTGTTTGTCTGCCACGCCTGTTTGCACTGTTCCAGTGCATTGACTCCAATTAATGGCCTTTGTATCATTATCAGGGTTAGTTATGGTTCGCAGTGGAGTTGCCGGCTTAGTGTAAACAAAAAACGTATCTCTCATTCGGCATTAAAGCTCATTAATGCATTTAAAGGTTGTCAATGCTAAGTAAACAAGACTTGATCACTGGTGAGTTGACTTGGTTTTCAGTGGGATGTCAGAGTACCCCTTTAACAGGCACAGAAAGGAGCTCTTGTTTTGGGTTCCTGTGCTAGATGATTGGGGGAATCCTCTACCAGTGTTGCAGGACACAGAGGGGGCCTTTCATTTAGCAGCCAAGGCCTTCCAGCTGTGTCCCCTGTCACTGTCCCTTCTCTGTGTCCCCTGTCACTGTCCCTTCTCTGTGTGCCCTCTGGAATCACTCCCAGAAAGGGAAGAGGGACTGAGCAATAGGGTCTAGGGAACATCATTGGCATGAAGTGGGAGGGAGGGGGTCCATTTCAGGGCCTGTGTTTCACAGGAACACTTCCGCCTCTTGCACAGGCTAAGCCTTGTTCAAAAGTGGGGCTGCAGGTGGCTGGATGGATATGGGCCAGCTAGCCAACGAATGGAGGTGGGACTAGTGTTCATGTATTAAAGCTTCAGTGTTTCTGTATTCATTTTTGTCCAAAGAAAACCTCTGGACAATACCAATTCCCTGGTTTGTACCATGGTGCATTGATATGTTTTACGCAATATGTTGAAATAACAGTTTAAAACTAATTTGACATGCAACGCAAGTGTAAAGCAAAGACAAAATAACAGAAGTACTCACTACAATTATTAGAGATGTATCTGTCATGATTACTGACTGACCTATCATTCTTCTAAACACTGATTACAAAATGTGTAAAAAGGCTGATCTTTATGAAAGTAGCCAAAACCTTATACATACCGGCGGCAAACCTTCTGCCATCTCCCCAGAGCCAATGTGTGTGAGGTGCATAAAGTTTGTGGGCTCTCCGATCATGCTGCAGTCAATCTTCCTCCTCTTCTTCTTCTGAAACAAATGCAAAACGCCGGAGGTCAGTGGCCAGTGACCAAATAAATAGTAATTAAAATATGGATAGCACAGTGGCTGTGCAAACAAAATGAAAGCAAAATTAGATTTTAATTCAGCTCTAAAATTACAAAATAAACATGCACTTAATCGAACAATGATTAAGCAGCATATATTATTAGAGACACAGGAGAGGAATGCTTATTTGGTTATAGGTGTATACCATGAGGTGGTCTATTGATCATGGGATGAAATACTATAGAATAAACAGAAGTTGATGCTAGATAGTAAACAATGTCAAAAAAGCCTGTGCAAAAAACTTCCAGAAGCAGTCATGTAGAGGATTTGTAAAAAAAAAATTGTATGTTTGACGGCTAATAATAAATTCAATGTTCTTGCTATGCATAAGCCATAAAAAAATGAAGGCTTTTTAATTTTCCACTATATTGTTAGTTTATCGTCGCCTTATGCCATTGACCTGCATATAGACCTTTGGCCATTTTAAGTGTTACATAAGCAACTTTGACCGATGTTTACATCAAAAGAAACAAAAACATGCTGCTGACCAAACGTTGAACCCTGTATCCTATGAGCTAGTCATGTTACTAAAACAAGGTAGACCACTGTGTGTGTGTGAGACACATGTGGGTGTCTTTTCTTGACGTCATCGTGAATTCTGAGGACCTGTTGGAGCATGCCTACATACCCAATGAATCAGTCATCTTACCGACCATTCTTGTTGCTACATTGGCATGGCAGAGGAAATCAGTCATTCCCACAGACTCAAAGACAACCTCCTGACCATTTCAGCAAGCATATTTTGCTAACATATTGAATCAGTGAACACCTTGCAATGTAAGGAATTGAAATCAATGAACATATGTGATCAAATAAGGTAAACCTATACTTTTCTTGGCTCTTTTGACATTCTTTGACGATCAAGTAGGGACCTCACTCTGTGTAGATCAACTTCTGAGTATCAATATGGCAATCATTTACAACTTAAACACTTTGCCGTTTGGTATTTCAGTCCTAACAGCCCTTGAATCATTAAAAAGGCATACCAAACCTAACCAAATGCCCAGCTAGTTGGCATCCACTCTGAAGTGGCAGCCATGAGTCATACCAAACTCAGAAATAAACCCTGCACTATAATGTTGCTTAATTGGGAGGTATGCTATCCAGTGGATGATTGATGGAAGGTCTAGCTAATTGGTCAGCTGCGTGTGCTGCAAAAGAGAAACAGTCGCTTAGCAACTTATTTTAGGAGAGGCATTCAGTATATGTTGTGTGTCAGTAACCCTTTGTCATAGCCTATGCTTAGAAAAGTGGGTAGCAATTACATGACTGACATACAGGAAGTTAGGCAGACCCAAACTACCAACGTCTCATGAGAACATCAGTAAAAAGGGTCTCAATACAGTAATCTTCAAAAAGTGACACGCCACACAAGACCCTACCCTCTGGATACACTTGCATGTATTTATTTAAAGCTGGCGTAACTGTATTGTCCTCCCCCCACAATAGAACAAACACAGGCCCTAAAATTAAAAAAAAAGAGGAAGGAGGGAGGGAAAAAACCATCCCACAGGACAGTGGCCCAGTCCCCTTCCTCTCTCCTGAGCCCCCGGGTTCATTGTTGACGAGTGGGAACGGATGGACACAACCCGCCATTACGCAACTCTCCCTGCAAAACCTGGGCCAGGAAAGAGTGAGGGTCAGGAAATGGTACCGCCCTGAGGAGGTCAAGGGTCGGCGGTCACTTCTGGAGAGCAAAAAGGAAGTTCTTCCACAGTCAATACGGAACATTTCAAAAACGTTGAAAGTTTCTTCAAGTGCAGTCGCAAAAACCATCAAGCGCAATGATGAAAATGGCTCTCATGAGGACCGCCACAGGAATGGAAGACCCAGAGTTCTCTGCTGCAGAGGATAAGTTCATTAGAGTTAACAGCCTCAGAAATTGCAGACCAAATGAATGCTTCACAGAGTTCAAGTCACAGACACATCTCAACATCAACTGTTCAGAGGGGACTGCGTGAATTACATTTTTACATTTGAGTCATTTAGCAGACGCTCTTATCCAGAGCGACTTACAGTTAGTGAATACATTATTTATTTTTTATTTTTCATACTGGTCCCCCGTGGGAATCGAACCCACAACCCTGGCGTTGCAAACGCCATGCTCTATCAACTGAGCTACACCCCTGCCGGCCATTCCCTCCCCTACCCTGGACAACGCTAGGCCAATTGTGTGCTGCCCATGAGTCTCCCGGTCGCGGCCGGCTGCGACAGAGCCTGGATTCGAACCAGGATCTCTAGTGGCACAGCTAGCACTGCGATGCAGTGCCTTAGACCACTGCGCCACTCAGGAACCCAGGCCTTCAGGGTCGAATTGCTGCAAAGAAACCACTACTAATGGACACCAATAGGAAGAAAAGACCTGCTTGGGCCAAGAAACACAAGCAATGGACTTTAGACCGGTGGAAATCTGTCCTTTGGTCTGGAGTCCAAATTGGAGATTTTTGGTTCCAACCGCCATTTCTTTGGGAGACGCGGTGTGGGTGAACGGATGATCACCGCATGTGTAGTTCCCACCGTAAAGCATGGAGGAGGAGGTGTTATGGTGTGGGGGTGCTTTTCTGGTGACACTGTCTGTGATTTATTTAGAATTCAAGGCACACTTAAGCAGCATGGCGAACACAGCATTCTGCAGCGATACGCCATCTCATCTGGTTTGGGCTTTGTGGGACTATCATTTGTTTTCAACAGGAAAATGACCCAACACACCTCCAGGCTGTGTAAGAGCTATTTTACCAAGAAGGAGAGTGATGGAGTGCTGCATCAGATGACCTCCACAATCCCCCGACCTCAACCCAATTGAGATGGTTTGGGATGAATCGGACGGCAGAGTAAAGGAAAAGCAGCCAACAAGTGCTCAGCATATGTGGGAACTCCTTCAAGACTGTTGGAAAAGCATTCCAGGTGAAGCTGGTTGAGAGAATGCCAAGTGTGCAAAGCTGTTTTCAAGGCAAAGGGTGGGTATTTGAAGAATGTCAAAATGTAATATATATTTTGATTTGTTTAACACTTTTTTGGTTACTACATAATTCCATGTGTTATTTCATCATTTTGATGGCTTCACTATTATTCTACAATGTAGAAAATAGTAAAAAATAAAGAAAAGCCCTTGAATGAGTAGGTGTGTCCAAACTTTTGACTGGTACTGTATATTACAGGCAACATCTTTGTTGAACATGTGCCATGGGTCAGATGGTCAGTGAATATTATTGACTGGCATTCACCCTAAGTATAGTGCAATAACAAATCAAAGATGGCACTCAAGATATCGCTCACGATGTGGATGCCCCTGAACTGCAAGCTATAAAAACGTCACCCGTTTAAAGATATCAGCCTGTAAGTGATTGCAGATGGAGTCTGAAAAACATCATAAATACACTGGCCTTTGCCAACAGATGTATTGGACTTTGATGCATTTAAAAGGGTCTTGGCGTAAAATCTAAATGGGTAGAGTGTGTTTAACTTTTGACTGTTCTAAGCATGCATGTACAGTGGGGAAAAAAAGTATTTAGTCAGCCACCAATTGTGCAAGTTCTCCCACTTAAAAAGATGAGAGAGGCCTGTCATTTTCATCATAGGTACACGTCAACTATGACAGACAAATTGAGGAAAAAAAATCCAGAAAATCACATTGTAGGATTTTTAATGAATTTATTTGCAAATTATGGTGGAAAATAAGTATTTGGTCACCTACAAACAAGCAAGATTTCTGGCTCTCACAGACCTGTAACTTCTTCTTTAAGAGGCTCCTCTGTCCTCCACTCGTTACCTGTATTAATGGCACCTGTTTGAACTTGTTATCAGTATAAAAGACACCTGTCCACAACCTCAAACAGTCACACTCCAAACTCCACTATGGCCAAGACCAAAGAGCTGTCAAAGGACACCAGAACAAAATTGTAGACCTGCACCAGGCTGGGAAGACTGAATCTGCAATAGGTAAGCAGCTTGGTTTGAAGAAATCAACTGTGGGAGCATTTATTAGGAAATGGAAGACATACAAGACCACTGATAATCTCCCTCGATCTGGGGCTCCACGCAAGATCTCACCCCGTGGGGTCAAAATGATCACAAGAACGGTGAGCAAAAATCCCAGAACCACACGGGGGGACCTAGTGAATGACCTGCAGAGAGCTGGGACCAAAGTAACAAAGCCTACCATCAGTAACACACTATGCCGCCAGGGACTCAAATCCTGCAGTGCCAGACGTGTCCCCCTGCTTAAGCCAGTACATGTCCAGGCCCGTCTGAAGTTTGCTAGAGTGCATTTTGATGATCCAGAAGAGGATTGGGAGAATGGCATATGGTCAGATGAAACCAAAATTGAACTTTTTGGTAAAAACTCAACTCAGCATTCTTTGTTCCTCCAAACACGACAAGTTGCATCCAAAGAACACCATACCTACTGTGAAGCATGGGGGTGGAAACATCATGCTTTGGGGCTGTTTTTCTGCAAAGGGACCAGGACAATTGATCCGTGTAAAGGAAAGAATGAATGGGGCCATGTATCGTGAGATTTTGAGTGAAAACCTCCTTCCATCAGCAAGGGCATTGAATATGAAACGTGGCTGGGTCTTTCAGCATGACAATGATCCCAAACACACCGCCCGGGCAACGAAGGAGTGGCTTCGTAAGAAGCATTTCAAGGTCCTGGAGTGGCCTAGCCAGTCTCCAGATCTCAACCCCATAGAAAATCTTTGGAGGGAGTTGAAAGTCCGTGTTGCCCAGCGACAGCCCCAAAACATCACTGCTCTAGAGGAGATCTGCATGGAGGAATGGGCCAAAATACCAGCAACAGTGTGTGAAAACCTTGTGAAGACTTACAGAAAACGTTTGACCTGTGTCATTGCCAACAAAGGGTATATAACAAAGTATTGAGAAACTTTTGTTATTGACCAAATACTTATTTTCCACCATAATCTGCAAATAAATTCATAAAAAAATCCTACAGTGTGATTTTCTGGATAAAAAAAATCTCATTTTGTCTGTCATAGTTGACGTGTACCTATGATGAAAATTACAGGCCTCTCATCTTTTTAAGTGGGAGAACTTGCACAATTGGTGGCTGACTAAATACCTTTTTTCCCCACTGTACATGCCAATAAAGCTCTGATAACTTTGTGTTGAATGCAACAGCCAAAAACACTTTTCAAGTTCTAGTTTGTGGTCAGAGTAAGCATGCTTGGCTGCCTGGGATGCCCAAACCTTGCCTTTGGCTACAAGATTTGCAAGACTTGCCAGGGACCTCAACAACCTCTGAGAAACACATCTTGGCAAGAGAGGGTTGAATAGAAGTGGCCAGGTTCTAATATAAAGCAAGCTTGGGGAGTATATTCCATAGTCTGTTACATCTATTAGATGGGGCATTTTGTGAAACCTGACAGAGAATGTTAAAGTAGTGGGCATTTTATACCTCTACATGAGTAAATAAGGGGCAGCTGGCCCAGACTCACCGGTGGGGGTTTGGCCACCACGCAGCAGCCCATCTTGTGCCAGAACTCGCTCATTCCTGGGCTCCGCCGGTTCTGTCGGTTCAGCGCCCTGCTTTCTGTCGCCGCCCTGCAGGCTGGTGAAGACAGGTAGCCCCTGTGACCCTCAATTTTGGGATAGTCCTGGTGCATCCAGATCCCTTGCATCAAATATCCAAAGTTGGTCAATCCTCAAACCCAGTCCCCCAAAGATCAGGTCCTGATTCTCAAGCCTCCCGGAGTCTTAATCCTTCTTCGGTATCCAGTCGGATTAAAGTCCGTAGGGTTTAATCTGTTGAGACAAGAGGAGATTATTAAAATAATAGCCAATGTAATGTAAACATAGTCCTATTAGTTCTTCATTTTCTTTTTATGCAACATATCACTGCAAGCATAACCTCCTAAGGTAGCACCGTAGCGGCATACTTTTTACTTGATTCTGCCCAAACCAGCGTCTTGTCTTGAACAGTGTTTTGCTTGCACTATTTTAAATGATGCAGTTCTTTGTGAGTAAATCTGCTTCCTACTCAAAGGGAGAAGCGCTACATGAGTGCTGATGATGACACATTGACTCACATTGTCCCCGTCCCCCAGGTCAAAGACTCAAGGGTGTGTGGTTTGACCACCGAACACAGTGGGCCAGACTTCTGTTCCAAGTTCTGACATAACGGAAGGCTTGATCAGACACGGATGGCCACACAAACATGCATAACACATCTAACATACAGCTTTACAAACAAGTGACAAGCACATTAGACATGAGAAAGACATTCCAAGGGTGAAAAACGTCTGCAAACATTAAAGGGCCAGTTGCCCTTGTAAGGACTTAAGCATCCTCCATTCGCCTCTAGGTTGTTCCTATCTCATCCCATTTCCAGCCTTGTAAGTCACATGAAGAAGCCAAAATGATAACACTCCGGAGGACCATCTCTGAAGCCATTTATATTACCTCTTTGCAGTGTGGAAAAGTTCTGCCAAGACCATTTTCCACATCATTAAGTTTGGTTTATACTACTTAGTGTCATCTTTGGTTTATTGCCATGTTTAAGGTTGTCACTGATGATCCGTTAAGCCAAATTTGAGCTGCGGCTTTTTGGTATTTTATTAGGATCCCCATTAGCTGTTGCGAAATAGACATTAATAGACAAGAACAGCTCAAGGACAGACCTACAAAATAAAGGGGGGAAAAAGGGCACCCAGCCTACATATCAACACATACACATAAAATATCTAGGTCAAATAGGGGAGTAGCGGTGCCGTGGTTACCGCCTGCTCCAAGGATTCTGCTTCTACAGGTTGTTTTCCACTACTGGGCTTGGACTTTAGTTTACTTTGGGCCCGCTGCCGATCGTTTGATTACACTTTTCATAATGACATGGCTCTCCTCCAGCTCTGCTTTATCGTGCCCAGAGGCTGTGTGAGGAAACTGTTTAGGAATGTGTGTGTGGTGGAGAGTCTCTCACACACACACACACACACCTTTTCACAAGAACAAGCTCAAGCCTATGCACTCTCAAACCCGATACAAAAATACTGTAGAAATAACCTCCTTCAGACATTCAAATTAGCACATAGTTTTGGAAACAATTGGGGGCAAAGTAAGAGTAAAACTAAAGCACCACACACACACACACACACACACACACAGAGAGAGTGGGTCGTTTGATAGCACAAGCACATTGCTGGCATATGGGCATCACAGCGGTTAAAGGTAAGGTATTAGCCTGATACACTTAGAGTCAACTGGCGGCTAACTGTATAGTTCACTTACTAAAAGGCTATTTGGTTAACAGTCATCAGGGCAGTCAGAAAGCTAGAAGACTGGTGTACGGTAAAGGCATCAGGGTTGTAAGATGGGCTGGTCAGTGGGTGTAGAGAAGTTCTCAAGCCCCATGGCTTATTGGGATGAGGTGGAAGTCTATACACAGACTTATGATGATATAAAGGGTGTGGATGGATGGCAAGGCAGGCAGTGCCAAAAGCACTGGCCCATCATTACGTCACAAAGGCCAGGCCCTGCAGGCTGGCACAAGTCAAATAGGACACAGGTGTCTGTAGAGTTGAGCCACTAGTTGAGCCAGCCTTGCTCAGGCAAAGTCTGGGTCTAACTTATCCCTGTGTTGACCTCTTACGGTTTTCCCCCAGAGCAGGTACACTTAAGAAAGTGATTATAGTGAGGCCACACACAGCATTGTGAGAACACAGTACTCGGAAAGAGGGCTAGAACTGTGAAACTGTCTGTAGGACAGCACTGGGCTCTGAATATCTCCTGTGACACCATTTAGAGGAGCGTAACCTCATGACCAAGCATCCCATGATTCATAGCACGACAAGAAGAACAGGGGGGGGGGGGGGACTCGGGGCAGTTGAAATACTTGTCCGGTGAGGTAAGGATTAACGGAAACTCCCGCTTTGGGCTCATCTGGTCTCTGACGGCATGCTCATCATCTTGTATAAATAAACCAGACTCTCCAGAGCTCTGGGGCCGTCTCGCTCTAATTTGAGGTTTCCCCACGAAGAGCCACGATGAGCAGCCTAACCTCTTCAGAAGAATGCCAGTCCAGTTCTGTTGAATTATACTGGAGACTCATCTGTTGAAGTGCTGGAGAGACCTTGATAAGATGGTGCTAATTGTTGATGTCTTCTTAGGTCACAGCTGTTTATTTGTTCAACTACCATTGGCTACCCCGTGGGAACTGGGAAGAATCGTTCTGGGTCCCCAAAAGGGATTTTCCTCCCACCCAACTTCTTGTCTTATCATTAAAATGGGCATGGTGGTTCTTCAGACAGTACATAATGGTTGACAGTAATAGTTCTTAACCCTATTAGGATCCCTTGAGACAATGCCTATTCTTTGTGCCATAACCCTCCAGCGACCTTCTATAAATGCATGTGTATCTTTGCATCGACAGAGTGAGAACTCAAAGTACAGTGAAAACTGAGGTTGTCTGAGAGTGTATTACCTTAGTGGATTTCAAAGTCAACTCTGTACAAAACACACATAATGGAATCCTCCTACCCTCACTGGACTCCTGTGTCAGTCTAGATTTCACATGATCCTCAGTGCAGCCGAGGCTTCCCTGTTATCTGTGCTGAACAGGCAGAAAAGCCAAAACTAGAAGGACGACAAAGAAGCACAGAGACTAACCTTATTAAAGCGACACTAAATGTGACACGGTAAACCCAATGCAGTTACAGTAGCAGGCAGCATGTGATGCATCACAATTCCAACTGTCAAGTTTTTCTCCCCTAACCCAGCTCTTCTTCTCTTGAAGGGAGAAATTGACTAAATGATTATCTTCAAGAAAATACGTTTTTAGACAAGGCAACAACTTGACCATTCTAAGGCAGTTAGCAAAAACGTATATTCTCAGCATGGGTTTGTTCATTTAATTTCCCCATGAGTAGGCTGACAGTGATGATACTTCCTGCTAACTCACCAAACACTGACGTGGCTAAAAATTCCTTCAAGAATGCTAACATACTCCCCCTGTAAGAGATGTGTGGCAAAACACATTTCATTACAGCCCTCTTTTCCAAATAGTCAGAATGAACAGCATATTTATATAAAAACATCAATGGCTAGCATCATAGAGCTTGTATTTGAAAGAGATAATGGCTATAACTTACTGGGATTTATGAATTGAGAAACAACAACAGACAAGAGGTAATGTGATAAGAGACATTGATGAAAATGATGATCAACCCTGACTAAAGACCAGCTCACACAACACACCAAAGCTAAAAAAAAAAGATTCCATGGAAGGATCGCTGTTGGCATGGACTCATAATGCCAAGCCCTGTTCCCTCAAAGGATAAGGTGCCAGGTCCCACTACAAACAACAAGACAATGCCTCTGGCCTAGACTACTAGAGTGTAACCCAACAATGTGATGACCAATTAATAGAGCCAGCTCTAACAGCATTACATGTGAGCAGGCAAAGATACAATGGAACCTTAGGGTTCATGCACTGGTTGTGATCCTCGAATCATTCAATGAGATCTAATAGCAACAACAATGTTGAGATTAAAATGCTCTGATACCCTTGTTAGCCCATTAGATGTTTTAAAGCGGCAATCAGCAGTTGAAACAATAACAAAATATTTCCCCGCCACTGTTTCGGTAAAAGGCTGAGGGACGGGGCTGGAAAAGTGTAAACACTCAATTTCATACATGGAGCATCCATGATATCAACATAGTTTTAACCATGTTTTGAGGCTATACAGCGTTTGTTTACATTTACTTAGTTTACAAACATTGGAGTAAAACAAGTTTATATTTTGGGTTCTAATGGGGTACGATAGTTTGAACTAAGCTCATGAGACATTTATAAGTTATATTCTTCAAGAATCAATGGGTACATATCCAAAAATGTATGTAGCAACTGCAGATTGACCCTTTAATGGTCACACACAGTTATTAGATGACATGCTCAATAGTTACAACCCTATAGTATAAGCGTTTGCAAATGCAATAGAGTCATGCAAGCTACCTACCAAATGGGTGAAATCTTGGATGTGGGTCAGTGGCTCACTGTCAAAAGGGGAGAGAAAAAGGAGGGTGGTGGTCTCTAACGAGGAATTACAATGAGGCCTTTTCATGGGGTCTGGTTAAAAATAAAAATAAACTTTCCAACTGGTTAATGGCACCTTTAAAAATTGGCCCATGTCAGTTTTCAAGCAACGGCTTGAGAACAACATGGATCTTTCATGGAATCCAGTGCACTGCCATCCACGATTAGATGAATGGTTCAGGTGTTTATAATTGTATTGGAACTCTGAGGTCTTTAGGACGGTTGCTTTAAATCGAGAAATGCATCAGTGTAATGATGCCTGCCTGGCACTAAATTAAAAGCAGGTAGGCCTACATTGATATAGTAGGTGATGATGGGTCTCTTCAAAATCAAGTTACATGTTTTCAGGTCTGAAAGAGGTCTAGTGTTGAGATGTATCCATTGTCCCCATCATCTGTTGTGTAGTGTGCAACTACAGTGAGGGAAAAAAGTAGTTGATCCCCTGCTGATTTTGTACGTTTTCCCACTGACAAAGAAATGACCAGTCTATAATTTTAATGGTAGGTTTATTTGAACAGTGAGAGACAGAATAACAACAAAAAAATCCAGGAAAACGCATGTCAAAAATGTTATAAATTGATTTGCATTTTAATGAGGGAAATAAGTATTTGACCCCCTCTCAATCAGAAAGATGTCCGGCTTCCAGGTGTCTTTTATACAGGTAACGAGCTGAGATTAGGTGCACACTCTTAAAGGGAGTGCTCCTAATCTCAGTTTG